CACTATTTGTTCAGTGAAATTCTCTGTCAGATGCTGTAAGGAACCCTCAGGTTAAGATCTGTTTGATCAAAACATATTTAGCGGTAAATAAACCCCCGAAATTAATAATTCTGTAAGTCTCCGGCATTAGTGGTTATCTTATCAGTCTTGATTGACACACCCTGGATGAAAACGATTGGTGATGCATCCGCACAAAATTACCACTTCATACATATTGTTACTCACCTCTTGTGACAATTAGCCAAGTTAAATGAAACGCTTCATAACATATCGACAATTTTTCAAATATATCTTCAAACACTTTCGTTTCTGACCTTTAATTTGACTGGGTTGGAGTCTTTCGATTACAGAGGTGTGGCATCTTTACGTGTATTAGTAGTTTAAAAATAACCTGATAAATATTTAAGACATCTCGCAACCGTCAATTCCGACGACTAACACGCGAGCATGTCCTTAATCTCATGTCATGTACCATTCCTAACTCGCCAAATTGCCAAGACGGTACATAAGATGACAACCTATCACAGATGTCCGACGATAATGCTTCCCAATGGTCAGACGGTTTTTGTCTTTTGATATTTTCAACACATTAGCATTTCCAAACCCGCCCCATTCAGTTTCGGTTGGAGTTTAAGGGTTATTGGCGACAACTAATGATGAATATCAAAGTTTTTCTTGAAAGACAAATTGCTTCGAAACGATTAATGGAAAAAATCCCCGACAAAGTATTCGGTAATGCATTATCCACCCGTGAAATATATTATATATTTAAAGCAAATTGCAAAACTGAGTCTATTTGGTTGGAATATCGTAGACAGTATTTGTAGACTAATGAGTTTAGATAAGGTTATCAATACCTACAGTCTAAGAAAGTGATGAACCGTCGTAATTCAGTGGTGTCCAAAGTGCCTTAACACACATAACAGAACAGAAAGTTCATTAACCGGATCGAATATCTGACTTGCAAAATAATGTTGATGTCGAGTTGCAAAGTATGTACTTCACATACGAAGATGTTTCGCAGATGTAGTCGTCACTCTTAGGAATTTCTTCGCAGGCCCTAACTATGTCGATTACCGAAAAAATACTCTTATCCCCCAATATAGATCTCGAGTCATTAATTCTCTGTGAGATATAATGAGTTGAATTGGTTTAAGAATTTAGTCATTTACAATCACCATGAAGGCTCCAACAACTACCAGCCTTTAGTTGTAAATAAATCCACAAAATGAATAGTTCGGTAAGCCTTCGACATTTGGTGCTGATCTCAATGATTTTACTGGACATATCTAGCTGAAGGTGATCGGTCACGCATCCACACCGGATCATGAATGGGTAATCCGTGTTACGCATCCCTTACAACTGCTAGCTAGATTAGATCAAACGTTCCCACGACATATCGATAGCCTCCCAAATATATTTTCAAACACCCTCATTCTCGAACTGACTGTTAGCCTACATTTGTTCACACTGAAAATTCCGTTGTTTGAGAGGCTACAATTTCGTAGTAGTTGTTGATGCTCGACTTACTTTATCAAACACTGAGGCTGTAACCTCCGGGATACTCTGAAATTATTTTAGGCCAAATAAAAAATAGTGGATTCAGCTTGTCAGTCCACGTGGCAATGACTCACAGAACCGCTATGAAATCAGCTGTGACACTGGATAACGTACTTGGCAAAAACTTAGATCGGCATGTAGATCACTAACGTAGATGAGCTATGTCGAATAATTGACGGTCTAATCGAGATAGACGGGAATGATTTGATGAACCAGATAACTTCGAAGTCATACCTCGTGGTCTGCACCTAACGTTGATTACCCCTTCGTCGCATCAAGGTACTGTGATTTCCTTGGAGACCGCATAAAACAAAGGACGTTTTTACGGAAATATAATAGCGAAAACTGGTACAGAGAAGATAGTACGACCACCACATCATAGGCTAGTCCATGGCGTAGGATTAAATAATGCGCGTGGGTTGTCCTTAATCCTACGGGGAGCGATGGACTGTTCGACATTCAGTGACACAACTTCTGGATGATTTGGCCAGGGCGCAGTGCCTTTTCACTGGCCATACAGGCCCCAAAACCAACCTGAAAGATGCAAAAACAATTCTCAGGCTTTTCGTCCTCAAAGAATTAACCTAGACCTTCAATTTCGCTATGAGCAGTGCCGATAACTTAAGGAAAATATTCAGGACTAATGTACTTCATTTTGTACATATCGTTCACATAGTATATGTTGGCGAAGCAATTGTTGTAGTAAGTCCAAACAACTGAACTTGCAAAGTACAACAAAAGCTCTCAGTTTGAAATTAAGATGAGATTACGTGTTGTCGTACAATAAATTATTCTAACACCATTCTGTCTTCATTCTACTCTGGTGCGTTTTTAAGATTGGTCTTATTATATAGTATTCTATAGATTTGATTGTAAAACCGATTCACCAGAACTTATCGATCCTTGCTTCAAAGAACGCCTATGATCACAGTCTTAAATAATCCATATTGTTAAGGCCATTTCGTACGTTGGCTTTAATGTGAATCACTTTAGTCGGTGGCTTATGTTTATGGCCATCCTAAAGGTTGATTAAACTTCTATGAAGTTGAAAAGTGCACCTCACATTAAGTGCGAAGCATTCGAAATTCTTTAGCAACAGAAAAAGTCTAATTTCTTCATAGGAATGAGCAGACTGACTAGCTGAAACGCCACTCATGCTTCATAAAAAGCTTTTTTGAACTGCTATTCACGTGCCCATCGTTACACATCTACTTTGACAAATGAACAATTTTCTTACCAACACGCTGTTAGTTTTACTTAAGAAGTGTGTTAAAGGATTTACATGGAAAGAGACGAAAAAAAAATAAAAGTTATCAAAATCTTTTTACTGTCAGAGGAGAATCTGCCAAATAGGCGCATTTATATAAAAGTTAGATGAAGTCTCGTCCTAGTGGCATTGTTTGTATATTTTACGATTAACATTGGGAAAAAGAACTATTTGCTTTTGTCCAAAATTATACTTTTTGTCGGGTGTTAGTCAGTTAAATCTAATATCCACCTGTATCAAGTTATTAATTAACAATACATATGAAATTCAACCCCAGGGATACTACTCGTCCTTGAAAATATAAAGTTCCAACAACACTTTAAGTCTTGATTTCATATGATTTTTTCCATTTGACATCTTTTTCTCCGTGAAACCCATTGTTATTCTATATAAATTTAGTTTGTGGTGAATTTTAAGACAATAAGTAACGTTTATCTGTACCCACACTTAATAAGCATCATCTCTTAATATCCTATGTATGTCAATTAGCAAGTTGGTATAAGTTAATTTTGAAGCTTAGATTTAAAATAACCCAGTCACCGATTGCTCTGGTACCAGTCACAATCTAAATGTAAAGACCAATAAAATCACTTGGCTGCCAAAACTGAAGTGGACGGAGAAATGTATAAACAAGAGGTTTAATAGCTGAAGGTCGAATACCTTAACCACTAAGTTACCGTCCTAAATAACTTAGTTATGATCTGATAAGAATATCTTAAAATTGTGGCAATTTTGATACATTAGAGTTGTCTATTCTGTTAGGATTTATAAATAGATTGGATATGCCAACTACCTCATTTTGATCATGTTTTACTGATTATGAATGCTCTATAAACAAACGTTATATCACGTGCTGGATTGTTTTACATTGCCACTATTGTGGGATATAGCCAAATGTAAGTCAAACAAAGTATGGAAGAAATCTATAGATCTACTGATTTGTGGTTAGATACTTGAGTTAGAGCTCGGCGTCTGAATATTTGGAGTGAAAAGATGTAGAACGAAAACCACAGAAAATTTTGTGAATGATGTTTTCAAGAATATGAATCCTTTATTACTCTTTGCTTTTTGTTCCATATCACATAATTAACTTCCTCTTTTTATTAAACTCCCTTGGTTACCTCCGTTGTCTGTTGTTCTCGGGTTTCTTGGTGCCCGGTGATTCGGACCAAGAATCTTTGTGCAAGTTTCTATCATGTTGCCTTGTTTATTTGAATAAATGAGCTTAAACGACAATGAAAAGTCAGCTTACTAAAAGTATCTGGAAGTGACTGTACGACTGTAAGGTAGTAATGTGACTTTATGTTCGAGAATAAAAATCATATTTTTCACATCTTTAAATTTATTTAGGTTGTTACCTAGAATTGTATGAGGTTAAAATTAGCCATAATTTGTTTTCGATATCTTGTACTTCAACATTGACTACTAAGAATGTTTCATCTGGAATGTCAATGATTCTTATTGAGCTGATATCAAAACTAATGACAAAAGTCTGACATTTCATTCTACTTTCTTGGCTTTCGGTCTATCTATTTAAAAATACGTAGCTAGCATATTTTGGAACTCTTCATCATCTAATTTAACTTGGATGAGCGTCGTTGACGCACATGAAGTATAAAAACCCTTTCCATTCGTATTGTTCTCTGTCCAAAACTTAAAAATAGGTTTTTATTAGTCGTTTGTGCTTGAAATAAGAGTGAATAGATACTGAAAGTAGTTTACTTAAAGCTTCTATTATAATATTTAGGAAAACTTTTCCCTTACTAACCACAATTTTAGTTAACAGCCTTTCAAGAATAGTTGGAGTGGGTTCTCGAAGCAGTATTCAAATTATAGTAACTATGAAAGTTCTACATCCTATTTCTACCTTACACTGCATCACTATGACGCGGTCAAGCACAACCTTACTATAGTTAAAGTAATTATCGAATAGCTTTGACAAAGCATATGATATCCATTAGGTTAAAGTAGCTTGATTATGGATTTATTAGATAACGGATGGTTATAAGTTCTGTTATCAAAACTCATTTTGGTAAACAGAACATTCGCCTAAACCTAGTCTGCCTATTTTCGAACGTTTCCATCAAACTCACGTTTATTTATTCAGGTTACAGAGCCAATTATATCCTTAAACTCATGGGAAAAAGAAATGTTTTCGTAATTGGAAGCTATTATGGAAGAGGTATGCATTTTCAATTTATATGTCTATATCATGCCCAGGATTTAAGTCTATCTCATAGCTGTACACCACCCGAACCACCAGTTCGATCTTCCAGCACTATGTAAGTTACGTCTGATACATTCATGCTCAATAATTCTAGGCATCGACATCCCTTGAAGGTTGCACCCAAAAAACCACTCCCAGATCTGCCAAAAAAGCTGGAAGAAGCAGAAGTAATTTCATATCATATCATTGCATTTTTCCCTATTGTGGTTTTACATGACAATATCTAGCTTATTTCGTTGAATAATGCTCGTGTACAACTCCTAAAATCTTTTTATTTCTAGCATAAATGCTGCAGGCCTAAAAACAGGAACATAACTGTCTTTGAAAATTATTTCATCAACAAATAAATGATATGAGAAACGTTTCAAAACGCTATCCGAAGCTACAATAGACTACCAAAAGCTCTGTATGAAAGTAATGTAATTGTGAAATATAGAAACCGCGAACGGTTGTCTTGAAATATTAAAAGGCTCCGTTTAAATATTTTTGCTGGTTAGATTTTCTTATACATCTTACCATATGTTACTTAATATCATGTGCTCTGAGGCAATTAGAACGATTTTATAATTAATGTTTCATACCACATTTTTGTTATGTATTACTGTTATTTTGGAAGCCTGCTGGTTTTCTATAGTTCTCTAGTTAAGCGTCTCGCTTCTGGAATATTTAGGTCAACTAATTCTCTGTTAAAATACCAGTGTTGTCACATATGACCAGTCACTGAATTTTATTAGTCAAGAAATGTGATATCTTTATTAATGCAAGTGATGTAACGTAGCTATATTATTTACAACCATTTTATCCACCAGGAAAAATGCCTTTAGTTATTCAGGGAGAAATTCGGAACCCAAAGAAACGTTATCATTTTCAATTGAAACGAGGTAAACTAATAGTATGAAAGTACTTTTGAAAATTTTCGGAAAAGTTAGAAGAGCGTCTATTCCGTTGTTTGTAATACAATTTCACTTGCATTTAGGCAGTGAAATGTTAATAAAAACTTTCCGTGTAAGGGATAGAATAAATTATGCAATACTAAAAATCGGCTGTCTTTAATTAAAAAAGATGAATTAAAATTGATTGTATTAGTTTGCTTTAAGCTTTACTCTGTTCATGGATAAAACAGAAAGGTACTCTATCAAAAATACCAAAGGTAAACATCGTTAATGACCCTATATTCTACTATAATTGCTGTTTGTTAATGGTGTTGAAGCCCTAAGCTGTCTTCGTATTCGTTGGAAATTTTTGATAAATTAGTAAGTAGAAAGAAAATCCCAAAACGGGCTTCATAACTGTCTAAGTTATGTCTACCAAATCTTTCCATTTATATGGTCTCACTTCTGCATCTTGAAGGTTGAAATGTGATCCAGAAATTGATTCTTAGAAGTTTGGATAACCGGACTACAGATTTAAAACCAATCACTGAATTAAAATTCAAAACTCAATATTGCTATCCTTTGACAGCCATTCTATGCAAACTATATGTACTTTGGTCCAAGCGATTAAATACATTAGTTTATGGGTCACGGATAGTTCTGATTGTTGTATATACTGTATAAAAAGAGACAAAATAAAATATCCTTCATTGCTTGAATCCTATATAGCTTCCTTGGACGTGCATAAACGACTATTTAGATGGAAATATATATGATTTTCGTTGATTTTTAAGTTCGTTAACTTCTGGTCACGTATTTAAGTAAACTAATTTCACTTTATTGTAGTTAGATTATTCAGGTTACCTAAACTGACTAGTGATCCGAAAATTTCTTCTCCGTTATGTGTTAGTCATGAACTACACGTGGTCTATGATGAAAATACCGGAGAATTCAGAGTAAGTTTCTGAAAAAATGAAAAAATAAAAATAAATTTACCAGTTCATTTGTATTTTTATTGTTGCATCCGTTGGCTCCTAGTGTTCTGTATTTATGATCAATAGGTTTAATTGAAATTTAACTGTACAACTGTTATTAACCTGTTCTTTTATAATAAACTATCCTAAAACTTCAACAAGAAGTTAAACCAGACAAGACTACTCATGTAGATAGCTATCAAGATCACTAAAAGATATTTCCTAGACGGGAAAATCTAACAACTTTGATCGGTCATGCTTTGGTGCTTGGAGTTTTAGTTATTTACATCAAAAGGATAAGAAACTTTACTGAACCGACACTGAGTTGGCGTGCGCACATTTTAGATAGTTTATTGAATGATAAAACACTTTATTATTGCTTTTTGGCTTTATCTGGTTTTCCAGATAATTCTGACCACTGATAAATTTTATATTGGTTTTGATTAATGGCTGTTTGACTCTCTCTTTCTTCGGTCTTTATGTACTTTCGTCTTGAGCTTAATGTATGTCTGCATCTAAAAGTATGAATGAAGACAAGTTCGTGTTTTTCATTTCATTTTACTCTATATGGCATATCCCATGGCATTCCATACCATGCAAGTACAATATTCTATAATTCACTCTGTTTGACATCGAAATGTGATGGGCCGTCTACGGAAACTTCAATCAATAGTGTCCTAAGAAAATTTCATTTACTTTTCTTGTGATCAATGCAAGCAAATAAATTTGATGAAATTTTGTTAAGAGGTTTCATAGAAATTAGTTTAACTTATACGTCGTATTTGTTACGATGTCGTTAGTTTTGGTTTCAGTGCATATTGCTTCACAGTAGTAAGTGATTACTCAACAAAGCTCACTCACAAACTCCTGTTGATATAGCTTCAAACACCACATGCAAATCGATCTAATATGGTCTAAACCTCTTAGAAAAAATACAATAGTGCACCCACAAGTGATTTAATTTGAGGTGAACCAACTTGGTTTAAGTGAGAATTTGTGATTATCGGAGTTTGGCAATGATATTAGACGACTGTTACGTTGTTTCACAACCCAACCGAAGTTGGCCGGTTCGATTGTTGGGCTTTATTTCAGCGATTTAGAAGTGAAGCGCTAGCTACACGACCTATGTGGCAGGAATTTAACCTTCGGTATAGCTGTGGAATTTCTGTACGTGAGAAGACGTCTATACCTTTCTTTCTAATTTTTAATTGTATCCAAACATATGTGCATCCATAGTGAAGACCATAATAAAACAGAAATCTCTATTTTTTAACTTCTATAAATACTGCCCTAATGTAAAGGGCACTGACTCTTTTTAACTGATTGTAAGAAAAGGAATATCTACAAAACGGAAACACGGTATTTTATTTGCTGTTATCAATATCAGAAGTGCATTCCTTTTGATTGTTTTACTGTGGCTTTTTGAATGCATTTAATAACTTTTAAATGTCCAGTTATATGTTATACATATTCTTAATAAGTTTTGCAGAAACATTTAAATTTTTTTACATCTGAATGTTAACCATAATTTCTCAATGAATTAGTTAAGTGGACTACCCACTTAATAAGTTTTTTCTTCCAGGGAATGCCTGAGGAGTGGTTGGAATGGTTACATGCCGCTAATATATCATTTCAAGAGCGTGAGCAAAACCCAGAGCTCGTTATCGAAGTTTTGCAGTGTTACGATACGGCTAAACATCGGGCTAGGAGACAAAAGTTTATTATGACGGAAGAACATTGCTGGGGTAAGCGAACACTTAAGATGCAATTTCTTATCACTGAAATCTTATTATCACAGACTGAGTAGGCGAAATACTGACTAGTGTGACTGAAAGTGTAGATGTTTATTAGTAGTGGTAAGGTTACATTGCTTGCATTTAATTTGTGTGTAAAGTAGAGGGCTCATGTTCATAATAATATCTCACAACGATAAGAATAATAAGAATAATTGTTTCACAAATATGACCAATAGTCAATAAAACTCAGGAATGATACAAAATATTATATGAGACTTATGTTTTATATTATATGCTGGATCTAAGTGTTGATTACTATCCTAGTCGAGCCAACAATTTATTTTCATGTAAATAGGAATCTGAGATTGAGGGGAAGATTTGAAGCTCAGATGGATACTTTTGATGTTCACCTGTTCTCTGAATTCAGTGGCTTTGTTGGGAGTCCTTCACTGTCATTCTGGAAAAATCCATCGGCACGTAATTCATGTGGAAGTGAAAATTTTGGTTATTCCACAAGCTTTAAACTAATTTGTTCGAATGATCTTGTCTTAGCTTGGTTTTCTTCGCAGATTTCGTCATCTTCATTCGTTCTGGTATTTCTGTAGGCTATCTTGTTTGGCTGACCTCTGGATTCGATGATGTTTGACTTTTTACGCATGAGCCGGTGAAAGGATCAATGTAGATTAGTCTAAATGCCATGCTTATAAGATATTCTTAGAATTTTCTCTGCTTAACATTTTGACGCCTATTCAGACAAATGCTTACCTATAACTGTCGACGTGCAATAATATCAGTAGTGAAAAATCATGTAGCTTTTTGACCATTCTGTGTTCATGTATGCGTAAATGAAGGCATGTTCTTACTTAGCTACATTTGGTATTCTTTTTATTTTTGTATTTGTCACGTTTCGTCTTTCTCTCTTCTGCAAAACATAAAATAGAACGAAATGGCTGTATATATACTACATAGTCCTGATAATCTTCGTTTTCCTGGTACACTATTAAAATTTGAAAACCTTAAAGTATCTATAACCACTTGATTATATATGAAAAACTAGGTGTTGAAGTCATGGTATGATGACAGCTTTCATGTGACGCTTTTAAACACACAGCTCGAGTTTGAAATGATGAACCACTAACAGCTCTGCAGCGGAATGATTTATAAGATATTGTTGTAATGTTATTGTGTAGGCTCTTGTGTTTTAGATTAGATATTTTAAGAAGTCATTTAGATGTGTTAATTAATTTTACCTACTCTAATTTTTTTAATCATTTTCTTCGTAAATTTGTACTTTCAGTAATCAATAATGTCATGATAAAATCTCCCAATTATCTATTTCGATTTCTAGTATGAATAACTAATCAATTAGATATATGATCGAAAAACCTTTTGCTCCTGTCTGTCTCTCCGTCTTTCTGTCGCCCAATTTGTATTAGTATTATCACATATTATTTTGTTTGACAAAATGCAACCAAATCTTCTAAATTATATCCTGTGCGTTGTTTTTCTAAAAAAACACAGAAACTAATTATCTGGTTTGTGATTATTCTTTTCATAATGAAATTGTAGTAAGACAGGATATACTGCACGTTCAGTTCTCTTCAGATTTTGAGAGAGAGAGAGAAACTGTGAAATGATTTGTTTATCCTTGGGAAGATTTTAAGCTCCTGACAACCAAACAAGTCTTATATGAACATAACCTAGATATTAAATCAGTCTTATTTGTCAACTTACACATAAGAATACAGATGTCTGTTTGATAGATGAACCAAGAAATGTTGCGTACACACAGGCGATAGTCAAACAACAGTATTAGTACATTAATAATCAGTCTATTATTGTTATTTATAATGAAATGAACAATGCTTACCATCCGTTAAAATGTTGTTATATATTAGTTACTTTAGACCTATGAGATAATTAAAAAAATCAATCTCAAGAAGAACTTTGAATAATGCTATATTCGAACGTCTTTAAACACACTTAAATTTAAATAGTTCCAAATAGATATTACAGGTAGGTAGATATCTGCTGGTCATTTGATTTAACTGTAGAACCTAATCTATCACTTATAAGAAAGAACTTTAGCTGATTACCATCCTTAGATTGCTAAGTACAATATCAATATATTTTATTATATGACTTATAAAAGAATAATATGTAATGATCTACCAACTACTTCTTTATAATCGTCTTTTAGCAATAGAACGTTATTGTTCCTCTCCTCATTAACTGTAGCAAGTACGAAGTATTGATTGACTGCACTTGTGAGTCAGAGTTTTTGGGACTATATGACTTCTTGCAGTATGACAATAAATGGTATTACTTTATTGACTTACAGTCGAATTCTACAACAGGATTATAAGTGGGAAAACAAATGTCTTTGTCAACGAACAACGTCTAAGTATGTATGAAATGTAAGCAATCTCAATGTGGCAGTTACTAGATGAATACTTTACTAAATTATACTGTTTGTTGTCGTACAGAATTTTGAAAAGTATTTATTTCAATTAGTCGGTTACTTCATCATTTTTAAAGACAGGTGTTCATGAACTTCGTTTGCTATGAATTTAAACTAACTAATAGAAATGAGGGAATTTGTCTTTATATCTAAAGATCATTGCAAGAAAATGGTAAAATTTGGGGATAAGAAGTTAATCGAAAAAATGAAAGAGATTACTTGTAAAACTAATTTATAATTATTACCTAATGATTACTTGTAAATTGAGATAAACTGAAAGCTGAATTAATCTGCAATTGTTAAACTAGATGATTAGACAATTTATTGATAGAAAAGTAATAAGATAAACATTCTATGAATTTACTAGACCTTGATTCTATAACGACAGAAGGAACATCTATGTCAATAGGTTATTTGTTGTTGAATCGGTACTTAGCATACTGGTAACGATCTAGCATATTTGACGTCGTGAGCTTTAAAACTATTGGTAATAAGACTGATCAGTATGTCTACTGTTATACTGATTATATTTCATGATCAAGATTTTCATCCCAGTTAGTCTTTTATTCATCATTATATTAAGTTAAAACTAAATAGCTTCCTACTAATAAAGCAACTGACGTACATTCTTGATAACGCATCCCTATATGACTAGTGTGGTCTTTCTCTCGTCTAATCCTTAGGTAAATTCTGCGAATAACTGAAATTCCTATTAATTATGAGGCTAGGCAGTATATAAAATAAAATTTTCGGATTTCTTTGGATAAAGAAAAATTAATTAGTGTCAGTTATATTCAACATTTCATGTCTTTTATCTGTATTTGGTAATGATAATTTCTGAGTAGTGATACACAGCTTTCACGATTAATAACGGCAATGCTTTAACAAAATTATGATATGCGTTTAATTTCGTGGTGGATATGAAGTACACAAAATGTAAGCTTTAAATTAATTAAAAATGAATCTAGATTAGTGTATTTAAAGTGTGTCTAATTATAAAAATAATGTCACCAACAATTTAATGATTATATGTAATATAATAAAGTTTCTTCGCTGATATGCATATTTTTCAAATAAATCTGAAGAAGAATGTGAGTGTTCATCTTATTTGAATATTCACTTACTTACTACATTCAGTACACAATTTAATACGCAGCTTAGCCTAGAGTAATAACAATGTATTATCGAAAACGAAGCTGTTGACAACTTTTCATTTGAAATAACCAGTGTTGTGCTGACTTCTCTAAACAAAAAGTTACTGTTTCCTCTGGGTTTTTTTTAAATATTGACCAATGTGGTTCTAATCTGTTAAATATGATCCTTTATTTATCTCTGTAGCTTATGAATTTAAAAGATCGTTAAAATGTTTTTGTTAAATGCTACGTTGAATTATTTTCTGAATTTAGGTTAATTTATAAATCCATTTTCCGTAGATTCACACTTATCCAAGTCTTTGTACATCTGTATATTAACAAAAACAAAAATAGTTTATTTCGATTCTCATAGTTATATATTAGCACTATTATTGTAAAAGTTGGAGTTACTGTTTCTAACCTTATATTAAGTAACTATCCATTACAAAGTACTTTTCGGACCAAAATTAAACAAATGTCCTGTGTTCCCTGTTCATCAATAGTTTGTATCAAAAACTGAATTCATGGAAATTTATGTGCATTGTGAATCGAGATGCCTATATACTAGATTTATTTAGTATGATTCAATGTTTTTGCGATAAGAGTAATAAATTATTCAGTCTATTGTAACGAGAGCATAAAAACAGATTAAGTCATTTGAATACATTTTTATTTGGACATTATTTTATAAACGATGAAACAGATTATTTTTTTAAGTTTTATTCCGCTTCATCTAGTTAGTAACTGTTTAATTTTAGCACAGATTTTTTTCCAAATTTAGTTTTTTTTCTATTCATTCAGTTGTCTTTTAACAAGAATAGTATTCAAAATATCACACGATACTTTAAAGAGCTTCTTAATCGATTCTAAGTGTGATCAAGTATGCAAACAAAGGGAATGAATATGGAATACATTCCTGAATAATTATCTAATGTATTCCCAATAGTTATGAACTCATTACGAAGAGTAATGGATATATAGATTGTGAAATATGATTAATCTTTCATTAACAAGAATATTTCGTCTCCATACACCAAAACATTCTCAATAAATTCGAGTTTCATATAATTTGTTCTCTAGATTAATTCCAGATATCAACAACACAGAAAACATTGTAAGATGAAATGATAGATGGACTGTTGTTACTGGTTGTTTGCTTTCACAAATAATTTATACGAAAACTCTACATCTTCCTTTTCATTGTAGGTTTGCTAACCCATGAACGTACTAGCCCTTTTTTCAAACTTTCATACCACATTGAAACATTACTTTCTCTTTCATCACAATTACTTCGATATAGCATTTTGTAATTGCTATAAAGCTTATAATCCCGTGTTTTATACTTCCCTGTCTTTCACGCTGATCATATTCCCACGTAAATTTAACTCCTATTTTCAAGCAGAGTAATTATAATTATTGTTTATCCGTAAACTAAATATTTTTTCATATGAAACCACATTCGTAAAACATTTAGTTTAAAATTATGGGTGGAATTATAAAGGACTTAGAGAAAATGAGATGAACAAAATTCGTTTCAATCTGCAACATTTTTGTTCTTAGTTTACGAAATTTAGTCTTTCACAAAGTTTTAGTTTTGATTTTGGCTATACCATTCACAGTGTAGAAGCTTAGGCTCAAGTCCTCAGCTGTCTATGATCGATCACATCATTAGGACAATAACTGACATTTTTGATTAAACGGATAATATACTGTTCAATTATTGGATATTTTAATTAACTGAAAAAATGTTTACTTTAGGGAGGTTATAATGTCTGTCTGTCTGTTTATCTATCTATCTGTATGTATGTATGTTTATATACACATGAAGTTTGAATGACTAAACAAGAAAGAAAATTGAGTATCAATGTTTCTGTATCTCCCTTCAAATGACCGTATACATGCACAAATATATAGTGCTGATAATGCTTGTTAATTCCATTTTTCAATATTCAATGTTCATGATTAAATATTGTGTTTTATTTAAATACGAATTCAGTTTGAAGCAGTTGGTGAGAGCGTATGGAGTAAATAATCAATTCATATTGTTCTGAGTCGTGTCCTTCTTGCCTTATTCATATATATGCCTATATCTTCCTCTTTATATCCCATAGAAATGAATGACTTTTTGTCTCGTATTGATTGTTGGTCTGTTGGTAGTGGTCTCATACTTAATCCGTCCAAATGTCAAGCTGTTAACTTTAGCATGAGACATGAACGGAATATAAACACCATTTTGAGATCCCATAGTGCTTGTACCATCGAAGACTCCTTGATAAACTCAGTGTCGAAGGTCAATTATCTTGGTGTCACCTTTTCGTCTGATCTCTCTTGGTCTTCCCACGTTTTATCGTTATCAAAGAAGGTTTTCCGTCTGACCTACTACATAAAGAGATTGCATGCTCTTGGAATTACTCGTCATTTACTCTTACAATTTGTCAATTCTTGCATATTACCTATTATTCTTTACTGTTCTCCATTATTCTTTCCCGGGCTTTTGAGAAGAGACTTTGCTGTATTGCGGAGAGTGCTGAAGGCAGTTAGCAAGATGTGTGGTAAATCTTTCGAGGTCATAATTAATATGGTTGTGGATAGACATCTAAATTCATGAAAACACCTGACAGGTGTTATTTTATCAGATACTAGCCACCCTCTTCACTCTTATCTTTCTCCTTGTATATCTTCTGGTAGAGCGAGACGTAATTACATTAAAATCCATGCACGCAAGGAAGAGTATGAAAGTTCTATAATACCTTACCTAGCAAATATACTCTGTGACGAACAGGTTGTTAGAATTAACCTAGTCAATAACTTACATTCTTAACATGTCTTTCGTTTTAAAAGTTTGTACAGTTTTTTTGGTTTTTTTTAATTTCTTTTTGTATTTGCTACTGCCTTTTTGTTCGTTGTTCAGTAAGTAACTTGTTGAAATACCCTGTGCTGAGAATTCTATATTGTACCAAAATATAATATTGAATAAAGCCATTAATAATAATAGTAATAATAATAATATGTATAGAAAAAAATAATTGTGTAATGTAATTAATGTATTGATGTTTATCAAAATGTAGATATAAGTAAGATGATTAGGGTGATTCCAGAGTAATTTTTTGCAGTTATTAGCGGGACATAGATTGTATTACATCATGTTCAATGTACCCTTGCGTTGGCGCGCGCCGATTGGCTAATTCTTATCCAATCAGCGTTAGGCAATACTTAGTGAACACTAGAAATCTCATGTGAAAACCATAAATATACTAACGTTTTCCCTATTGTGCTTCTTACTCCCATCTAGTCTTGTTATTCGGAATATAATCTCTTTTCCTGTTCAACCGTGTTCTGATTTGGGGGACTTGTCGAGTGAACTGGTGTCTGATAATATTAAGCAATAGGAATAGCTGGGTTGTAATAAGAGAGAATTATAACAACAGTGTACATTTTAACAAAATAAATCACAGGTTTATGCAAGTAATAAAAATGTACCAATATGTTTTTATATTCTTAAGATTTAGTTAAATTGAATTTCAAATTAATTAATTAATCGATAAAATACACGAATTTTTCTAGAATAGAACTTTTAATAAAATTCAACGCTTGTTACATTTACTAATTAAGATTACAATATCAGCTATTGACCAAAATCTTATGTAATAAGAACTTTATCTTAGTAAACAAGATTTTTATTCACTTTCGGAATGTTATTTTGGCTTTTAATGAAGAGATGTGATATTAGCTCTTAGGAGTTAAAGTAATACTGTTCATATTTCATAAAAATGCAATAATACTGATATGGTTACTGTTTTCACCGTTAAATTCAAGAGTCTAGTATTGTTTGGACTTTAACGTTTATATATTGAATTATTTCCACTTATGCTTATAAAGCTATTATAACACTTTTCCTATTTGAATTATAGTTTAAGTTATTTGTAGGGTTACTGTACTGAAATTTATACCATCTGTTAAGAGGACTATATCTGTCGTATGAAATGTGTTTGCTTAAATATTTGTCTATTGGTTTCCTTGTTTTAATATTAGCTCAACTTACTTACTTACGCCTGTTACTCCTCGTGAAGGAGCATAGGCCACTCACCAGCATTCTCCATCCAACCCTGTCCTGGGCAATCCTTTCCAGCTCCGTCCAGTTGTAATTCATCCTTTTCATATCTGCTTCTATAATCCGACGCAATGTGTTCTTTGGCCTTCCTCTTTTTCGCTTCCCTTCAGGGTTCCAAGTTAGGGCTTGCCTCGTGATGCAGTTTGACGATTTGCGTAATGTATGTTCTATCCATTTCCATCGTCTTTTCCTAATTTCCTCCTCTCCGCCTGTAGCTCTAATAGGGTTACTGCCGGTCCCAAGTCCGGGTAAAGGAGGAGGGTTGGGCATGGGGTTAGCGTCCCCATCCCGTAGAAAACTAACTCGCTAAAAAAACGCTTACCAGAAAAAATAATCCAGTATTAGCTCAAGATAAAAGTTAATTCTGGAATAACTTATTTATACTGACCTATGAAGTACTATTAAAACTAAAAATTATTTCTGACCAATGCTAAACTACTGAAGACAACATTTAAAGTTATTGTATAAAGTGTTTTTAAGAAACTTAGAACTTAACCAAATTAAAATGGAAGAATTGTATATCATTTAACAGTCATTCATCTCGTTTTATAATCACCCAATCTATCGAAAATATACTGTACAACGTCAATCTGTTGAAAATTGATTCAAATATATATTCCATTAAATCAATTATTTTAGTTTCTTATGGCATTTTTGTTTTCACGATATGGATGAATGGGTTTCGTACGATGAATTTTTGATTAATTACTATATTTTTTTTACCAAATATTAGTTATTGATAATTCAATCATGAAATTACTAACTGGTAAAATTTCATAATTCAAACAAATAATCAGTGATAAATAACTTAATTTGCAAATAAATGTATTGAAGTGTTGTATTAATTTATTACCCTAACTAAGCAAACTTCTTTTCAAATCATACTGTAATTTTTTAATGCCACTATTATTTATATGGAAGCAAAATATCCTTTGACTATCAATTATGTCTAATAATGTTCTTTTAGGAAAACAATAGGTCCTTTTAGTTTCGCTAAGGTATTAGAAATTAATCACATCTTAAAATAGTGTATTACATTCCTATTGAATATCAGCATAAGTTTTTTATTCAAATGATATATGAAATAAGAATTTGTGTAATTTTTGTGTGCTGAAAGGTTGTATTTAGTTTTTACATGATACAATGTAAAACGTTTGGCTGGAAATACAACGCCTAAAATTATTTGTACTAAATAATTTTTGATTTAAGATAGAAGGATTAAGTATAAATATATAAATGTAATAAATAAAATATTGTATTAGTGAAAATAACTTAAATGAAAAAAAGGATTATCAGTATAGGGTTGTGGCGATCATTGAGTTTTTATTGAGACCATGAATCGCCATTGAAAACCTTGAAGCACTTGATGGCCGTTTAGCTTTAGTGTGGGGACCCCTCAGTTGTTCCTTTTGGTCTCACACAAACTCTTAAGTTTTAGTCCAGTGAGCCGGAATCCAATGGTATTAACGTCTAATTTCAACCAGTCCACGATAGTGTGCGACTGTCTTCCATTGTCCGTTTGGCTGTTCAGTACTCACAGGTTTCAAATAGTGGCCTAAAACTGATCGGTTCATAATTTTCATTACATAAGCACTTTTATAAACTAACATACAGCTGTATAATTTCCTTTGATCTGATACTACCGATGACTTTTCAGACATAATATTCTGTAGCATATTTCACTTTTTACTAAAACAAGTCTATTTTTATTTTAATTTATAGAAAATTTTGAAAATACCACTTCATGTGTATGCCATCAGTTTATAAATAATGAAGTTTCTGCTAATCATAGATGTAGAAACTTTCAACATAATTCGACTGATTCAACTTCCTCAAATGCAATATCTGGGGATTCACCATGTTCTGATCTTTCTATTCCTAATTCATGTCAATTTTCTTGTACGTCAACAACAAAAGATATTCCACCAACAGCACTACGACGACCACCACCTGTTCCACCTCATTATTCTGTTACTCATCGACAGGATGGAGACAAGAATTTAGAAACAGATAAAAATGTAATTTTGAATTGGTCTAATTTAATGATGATTTTGAGCTAACAATCTGTTGTTGTTAATAATAATAATATTAATAATGTAACAATGTTACACTGTTTGTTTGAGACTTAGTGTTACAACATAGGCTGACAAAATTGGATGAGGTAAGGCAAGAGTTGATATCGTGACCTTTTAGGGTAAGTTCAACAAGGTTAACCACTGAACTACTGGTTCATGATTTATATTTATGTGATACTGTAATTAATTTTTACTCCATTGTAACACTTCAAAGAATTGTTAATTTGTCTACCGTTGTTTGAAAAATGTTTTGATGTAGTCTCAAATATGATTTATTTTATGCAAACATGATTTCGTGTGAGTTATTTTTCTATTATACGTGTTCTATAAAATCTTTTTGTGTGTAATTTTGTTATCAGTAAACTCTTTATGATTTACACCCTTGAGCAAATTAGGATAAATGTCTCTAATATTATGTCCGTCGGACTGGATTATAATACTCTATAGCCGATTGATAATAATCAAAACTTTCTTTTGCTAGTTGTCCGATTGTACCACCTAAATTTTTATTAAAAGTCCCGTTTTTTTTGCAATAATACATAACGACTTTTATTTAAAGTGAGACAGTTTCTTATAAAGAGCAAAGGAAAACCATCATTGGTCTGCACTTAACCTCAAACATACTCTATTGTTTTATGCTCTTTTAAGTGCTACAACTCACAGTCATCAACTGGCACGAAACAAGCATGTGAGGAAAGCTTAGTATCTGGCTAGTTCTTTATTTTCAGTATGCGGGCGGCGGGAGTGTTTAATTTTACTGAAATTGCTAACCAATGTTAAAGGTTTTCAACATTTGTCTAACTTAGACAGTTCTGGCATTAATCACTCTCAAAAACATTGGCAACTTCCATACCGACAATCATGATGTGATTACTAGTGAATAGCTAAAAAAAGAACTTTCCAGAGTTCTAGTTAGAGGCCGTAACAAATGGAGTTCACTCGTGCTGCATATGCACAAGTCACCCATAAAAGACGATAAGAATTGGTTGTCTAATATAGAGGACCGATCAAAGTTAAACTTGGACAGGATTAAATCCCGGCTCAATTGTCTAGAGGTTAAGTTTTCGTGCGCAAGATCTGAATGTCTTCAGTTCGATTCTTAGTGGCTGGGGCGTGTGTAGTCACTGTTGAGGAGCTCCATACTAGAACGAAACAGCCATCCACTGCTTCTAGGTTTTAGCGATTCTTTTGCGTACTTATTTATGATTCAAATCTGAAACTAGAATTCTTTTCTGAATAACTGAGCAAATTTTGTTTCGTGATTATCAATACACTATTCAAATATTTTACCAGTTTAAATTTTCATACTAACTGTCAATCTGTTGATGTGGAATAATGAAAATTATTTACAGCAATAAACATTGTTTCTTTATCTAAATTTTATCGTTATTGTGAAGTTGTAACTTGGTGGTTAAAATTATTGACTTTTAATCACTTAATGGAAGTTTAGGCAGCTAAGTTAAACAGACATAATACAAGTATTGTAGAAATAAAATAATATGAAGGTTTTCTTGATTATAGATTTATTTACTTTTATCCATACCACTTTTTGAGCATAGTACTTTTAACTTATGATAACCTTTCATTTGAAAACAGAAAGAAAAATTAAAATACTAGTATAAGTACATTTTTTGCTTTCAAATTTTCTGTCCAATCAGTTATGGAAGATAATCGTAAATAAAACAATTGCGCTTGTACATACATTACTTCAGCATTCATAATCATCTTTTTGCTATATGAATAAATAGTAATTAATTAAAATAACTCAGCTCTTATAATTTTAATTTGGTTATCATTTGTTTATACGAAAAAATCTCCTCGTGAATATGTTTTGGTCAAGTTCAACTTCTATGGACAGATTTTTTGGCAAATTCCTGGATGCATTTATACATTAAGTTAGCTGAATACAGATATGTGTGTAAAACGTCATATACTTCATCATTTACTTTAAACAAAACAGTTTTTATGAGACCATTTGTGGATAAATGGTTGATTTTGTATGAACAGTTAAATTTAAAATGACATACGTTTATGTTACAATACAAATATCTTCTGATTATTTGACTATTACTAGTGTAGTTTGTTTACACGATATGTACAATGTATTATTCAGGCTTTAAAAATCGTAAAGATATTTTCCATGTACTACAAAGATCAAAAGCCCTTCTGATTACACCATAAAGATAAATGTAGATGTATGAATAATATTTGCAGCTTTGTTTAGTCTTAGTTTTTGTTGTTACTCTGTTTCACTAAAAAAAGATTTTATTTTATTAACATTAACATGTATTTTTAATTTCCTCTGTCATTAACAGAATAATGAAGTTCTAACTACTGAACGAACAAAATCTGACTCGCATTTGGAACAGAAATCGCTATCTGGAAATGATATTTGTTTTGTCGATGCTAATGTAGATTCGGAACATGAATCAATATCCTTTCAGATTTTAAATCTTCACCACCGTTTTAAGGCTTCAAATGAATGTATTGACTGTGAATCCATCCGCAGTTATTCCAATATATTTTACAGCTCATTGCCATTAGATGAAACAAAAGAGATAGAAAAACTAGATCGAAAGGAATCAGCTTTTCAAATGATTGATCATGCTAATGACAATGATGAAAAATCTGATAAGAAAAGCATATGTGAAACAGATTTGTGCACAGAGCAGACATTCAATAATGCTTTGCTTGGAAGTAGTCTTAATGAAACAAATAGATTCATAATCGAGGAGGAGCCCTACGGTGTGGAAGAAATCGAGGTTTACGAATCAGAAAAAGTGTCTGATATTATCTCTACTAATAGGACATGTCAGCCTGTCACTGAGATGGAGGTGAGTATAGTAATTGGTAAACCAAATGCTCAAATGCCATTTCTAACACAGATTTGTAATTAATTCAGTATAAGTCATATTTCGTCAATACATGTTTTTCAAAAAGTATAAAACTGATTTTAAATGACTCTCAGCTCTTTATGTTATTCATAATTTACTGATAAAAATGAGACAAGTTGGCTGGTTTTGGAGAAATGTGAACTTTTGTGATTTTTCAGATGTTTCTATCACAAAGGCTATATACTTCTTTGTAAGTAATTTGTGAAGTAATTCAGAAGATTTCCATTATTATGTTATCTAAACAGGGACATAATCGTTCACTGGAATAGGAAATTAAGTAGTCAAGAAAAAGAGACTATTTTTAGATTTCATCATTTTTAATAACGTGCAAATTATAATTTTTATTGATGGCAGTTGGATTAACAAGTATATCATTTCTAACAAAAATAAGGTTTGGGAGAGATTGAGTTGCTGTGTTGTAGATGTTCTGTACAGACTTGAAACTCGTACATTATAAGTATTATTAACCAATTACTCTATGAATATTGAAGCAAAGTTCATATTTGTTATGAACTACACAAATCTACCTTCTGCTTACTTATATGTGTATTTATGTGTACAAATTTAGTCAATTCAACATTAAATTGTATTTAATCGATCATTATAAAGTTACTGATACAGGGCTACTTACCTAGGAGTACCAACAATATTCTGTGAACTAGACACTCAGTGTGGGCACTAAACTGAATGACGTGATAGTTTTAGAAGTTTCTGCTTGTATTAGATATTTTTAGAAAGTCTACTAGAAACGTTTGGTTTGCGTTTGTATATTATGTATTAAAAAACCACACAGCTGGAACATTTACGTTTATAAAGTATATTATAAGTAGGGCTAGTCAATCGTTATCCATAATATCTGGACTTTCCAAAGTTTGTTGAATGGCTTTTCTTCAACCTTAGTCTATTTAAATATATAAACAGTTCGAGACATTTGTACTTACTTATTTATTAAGCTCACAGAATGTAGCTACTAGAATCGGAATTTTCTACATAAGTCACAGATTTCTGTGTCATACTCAACTGAGTGCTTCAACTGGTCCTTATGATAACTCGAACATTTTTAATATTAGATAACTCACTCCGTTAACATCATGGAACTAACCTTAAGCCCTATTTCTGTTAAGGTATTTTCACGCGAAAACTTTATGGAGTAGCATTGAATGAGGGATTGAAAATAGTTTTATTAGATTTATACATTTACCTTAGACTGTTATTTGGTATTCTTTGTTAAATAATGTTTAGAAATGTTTCTTATATGCCACTTTTGGGTTAGGAATAGATTGCAAAAGTAATTTTGTAGCTACTGGATTGTAAAAAGACCTTCCGGAATCGCTAACAAGAGCCATAAACTTCTGATTAGTAGCTAATAAATATATGATTAGTTAGAAATTATTGTAGAAATATTAGTGTTAACAAAAGGCTCCACAATCTGTTACATAACGCTTTAAAGAGAAATTCTTGGGCTCATGAAAATGTTACACTTTAGGTCTTCTGAAATAAACTGTATATATATACAACAGCTTTAAAAAATAAATAACTAACTTTGTGTGTTAACTTAATCTTCTTCAAAACCATTTAAACCACAAAATAAGATTTCATTAATTAGTGCTTATTTAAAAACAATAAACAAACGGACTCTACTTTAGAATGAATTCTACTTACACAGTAACTTTGCCAACTACATATTTGTAAGTAAATAAACACTACTTATGCAAACATTTAGAATTTTTCGAGCAAATGTATTAAAGTTCATTATACTTCCATGAGTTTTTCGATGAATACTTATAGGCATTCTCAACAGTCAAAACAATTATTAATCAAAGTCATTTATATTCATTAAATGCTTGATTTTAACAAAAATTCTTGTTGAAGAACAGTAATATAATAACCAAGTGTTTCATTTCCTTTCTACATATGCATAAAAGTACGTATAGAACTTTAGAAGTATGTTTATCGTTATGAGAGATAATACAGATGAATTTCTTATGAATGCGATTGAATCCAGAAGTGTTATCAAACGTGTAAATTATTCAGCGTTGTCATAGAAACCGAATATACTAAAATAATAACAAATATGTAAATTGATGAAATAACATCTAAAGTTAAACACTGAGAAGTAAAATGTAACCTGTAAAAGCATGAAAACTAGTGTTTCATGTTAAAAAAAACTAAAGCAAAAAGTGGTATTTAAAAAAGGAATTTTTAAGAATGTAGATTAAGTGTACCGTAAGAATAGAGATTGGATAAGATAATTTTGTCTAGAATTCTTTATTTAAAAAGAACTCCTGAATACACAAGTTCAAACAATAAATTTTTAGAACCAACGACTATTGAGTTAACAGGATTACTGTTTAGAGATACAGTCACATACAAATTCAAGAGTTTACACTGTTATTTTATTAGTGATACATTGACTTTGGAAAATAACTTCGTTTATGTTATTTGTTAGAAGAAATACCTTACTTTACATGACTGAATAAAAATCACGCAATAAATGAAAGTGGATATTTTTCAGATGACCTACAAGTGAATATTTATTATTTTGTATTAATATAGAAGTGTTTTTAATTGTTGATAGCCATTAAGAATCAAGTCTAACAGCTGTTTCTTTTTTTCCTCTAATGTATTCGATAGAAGGCAGTTTTTGTTTTAATTATTTTTCTACTATTTTTTCACTATAGTTGATTTTTATGTTTATTTATTATAGATTAGTTCACAAAATCATTTGTCTTTAATAAGTTCGACTAATTGGCAAATATTTTGTTGTATTAGCGAAGCGGCATTTACGTCAAATATCACAGATTCATCATCAACTGGTCTGCAGATTTGCTTGGCTCAACCAGGTAGTTTTGTTTCAGTGAAATGGTATATTAATGTTCTTAAATATTTTTGAGGTTTAGTTAATTGAGTGATTAAGAACTGGGAATAATTCTCAAAACAAAACAGATTTTAGAGCCGTTTTATGCTAAATCAAAGTGGTCGTAAATCACTTTTTGGGTTCAAGCTGCTCCACGAATGACAAGTAATTATGACGAATACTTTCAGGAGTTTTCAAGTATATACGAGACTCATAAACATGAAAATACAACGGCAGAGTTCTTAATTTTGTAAGATTAAGAATTATTTGAAAATAATTATGTATTCACGCCCACTAAAAAGACGACTATCTCGGAAACAAATGAATGTATGGTTCTTTAAAAAGTATGACACAGAAGCTGTGTTACCTGTAGCTAATAAACCAGTTTACTCATTAATATTTTCACGTTATAAGAAACGATGATTTCATCAGTAGTTTAAAGACAAGTGTCGATCGTATGTACTGAGAATTGATCTTACCTAACCATAACTATTCATCACATATTAAATATTCGACGGAAAAGTCATTCGCTACTAAATCATACTTTCTTACTCAGTAAGTGATAGCAAATAGCGAAAGTAAATAGAGGTTAATTTTCATATTTTAGATGGGCAATGTGATAGGTCATAAGTATATTCGTTTGGTAACATAATAAAGTGACACAGAACTCCATTGCTTTTAAAAGCCAGCTGTCTTTAACCGTTAAATCATACATTTCTAAGTTTTATTATTATGAAAACTTACACACCTACTTACATACGCCTGCTACCCCTCGTCGAGGAGCATAGGCCGCCTACCAGCATTCTCCATCCAACTCTGTCCTGAGTAATTCTTTCCAGTTCTTTCCAGTTGCTATTCATCCTTTTCATGTCTGTTTCCAGTTCCCAGCGCAGTATGTTCTTTGGCCTTCTTTTTTTCCGTTTCCTTTCACGATTCCAAGTTATCGCTTGCTTCGTAATGCAGTTTTTTGATTTCCTCAATTTATGTCCTATCTAATTTCAGCGTCTTTTCCTAATTTACTCTTTAGTCGGAAAATGGTTTGTTCTCTCCCACAGAAGGCTGTTGCCGATGGTATCAGGCAAATGAACATTCATTATCTTATTGTTTATAAATACGTGTAATTTTTTTATGATGGTTGTAGTAGTTCTCAAAGTTTCCACTCCGTACAGCAGAACTGTCTCGATGTTCGTTTTGAAGATTGTGAGTTCGATGTCGACTGATAGTTGTTTGGAGTTCAATATGTTCTTCAACCATAGGAATACTGTCCATACCTTGCCAATCCTTTCCTTTACGTTTGCATCGATCCTCCTTGTTCATCGATGATGCTGTCTAGATGAGTGTAATTCTTCACCTGTTCCAGAGCTTCTCGATCCAGTGTGATTGATTCGGTGCTCTCAGTGTTGTATTTGAGGTCTTTGGTTTTTCCCTTGTATGTTGAGGCCTATTGCTTCACTGGTTGTCTTGACCTACATTTGTTGATGTATATGGTATATAAGAGACAGGTCATCTGCGAAGTCCAAATATTCTAGTTGATTCCGAGCTGTCCCTCGTATTCCATGCTTCCTTTCAGATGTCGAGGTCTTCATAATCCAGTTGACTACCAGAAGTAAGAGAAAGGGAGAGATACAGCAGGCAGCCTTATTTGACACCGCTCCTTACTTGGAATGAGTTTGTCAGCTGTCCTCCATACTTGACTTTGCAGTGTACTTCCTCGTATGAATTCCATATGATGTTGATGATTTTCTCAGGCACACCATAGTGTCGAAGAAGTTTCCATGGTGTACTCCTGTCCACACTGTCAAATGCTTTCCATAATCAAGAATGTTGATGAATATTTACGAGTTCCATTCAATTGACTGTTTAACGAAGATCTGTAGTGTGGCGATTTCGTCTGTGCACGATCGATCTTCACGAAATCCATCCTGTTGACCTTGAAGTTCGGCGTCTATTGAGTCTTTCGTCTGGTTCAGTAACACTGTTGAAAAAGTTTCCTGGCACCGATAGTAGCGTGATTCCTCTGTAGTTCTCACAATTGTAGAAATCTTTCTTTGGTATCTTGGTGAGATATCCTTCTTTCCAGTCTGTCAGTGCTTGTTCTTCTTCACGAATCTTCCTGAATAAAGCGTGCAGTATCTTTGAAGTCATTTCCATGCCTGATTTCACTGTTTCGAGTGGTAAAATGTCAGTTCCTTCTGCTTTCCCACTCCACATTTTTCTGATGACTAACCTTATTTCTTCGATCGTTGACGGAGTGACATATATAGAATGGTCTGTGTGTGCTGCTTTGATGTCCAGTGGATTCGTTGGAGCTAATCTCAAGAATTCCTCGAAGTGTTCTGCTTATCTGTTCCTCTGTTCTTAAATCTCAGTGATTGGTTTACCTTATTTGTCTTTGGATGGTCCCTCTGGTTCACAATGTTTCCCTTCTAGTTTTTTTGTTGTATCGCATAGTTGTGATGCAAATATGACAATTCGTTCCTCTATAGTGTGATCCACTGAGGTTTATGTAGTTTTGTGTATTCGTTTGTTTGGGAATATTGTGTCGCTTATAAACATTTTCTTGAATGCACATAAATTTTGGAATCTATAACAATTCTCGTCCCTCTCTCCTGGTCCACGTCGTCCCATGATATCTTCATATTCGGTGTTGTCCATTCCGACTTAGATGTTTAGATCTCCCATCAGGACGGTCAGATCTTTTACTTTGTACTTCACTATAGTCGAGTGCAGCCTTTCGTAGGACTGATCTTTATCGTTGACATTGCTATTATTAGTGTGTGCATAACATTGGATAATATTCCTTGTAATTCCCTCCTTCTTTGTTTTGAATGATGCTTTGATGATCCTGGATCTACAAGATTCCCACACAACAAGTTCATTTCGTGCTTCTTTGGACAGCATCAGAGCAACTTCCTGAGTGTGTGGAGCATTCTCCTCTTCGTGACAGGAGTACATCAGCATCTCTCCTGTACCTAACCTTTTCTGTCCAGCTTGGGTTCAATGGGTTTCACTGATTCTGAACATCACCAGGTTTTGTCTCCTCGTTTCCGTAGCTATTCGATTGGTCCTTCCGGTATTCCACATTGTCCAAACATTTCACGTATTTTATTAATTTTTGCTCTGTTGTTAGAAGGGACATCAGCCACGTGACTTCCAGAGAACCTCCACTTTCACCAAGAGTTGTCATAATTCTTCTGAATGATGATCCTTCAACTCTGAGGGCAGAGATTAAATGGTTTAATATTCTTATTCCGCTTAGCGCTTTTTGGCAAGGTTGTTTTCTAAGGGATGGAGTTGCTGACCACATGCTCAACACTCCTTTTTTATCCGGGCCTGGGACCTACATTAATCCTAGAAGAGCTACAAACGAAGTTATTATAATAACAAAGTGGATGTTTAATACGACTTGGTGTTCAATGAAAAAACATATAAATCTCATTTATTTAGATTTTTCCCTAGTCACTATGAAGAACGTTTAGGTAATATTTCTAGCGTGCGTTTATTCAGAAGCAACCTTGCGTTAAAAATATATACTAATAAGTTCTTATTAGGTTCAGCCGCCATGAAAATTTATATCTGAACGGATATCCCATAATACCTGATATCTTTTATATCATAAATTGGCACTAACTAGACAGATATTGAGAAACTGGAAAAGGACTAATAGGTCGTTTGTTTAGGATTCCAGACTCCTAAGAAGTACACTTCCACGACTCAGTATTACATAGAACCATTGGCTTTTGTTTCACAAAAGCCTTTCAAACATGGAGTTAAAGTGTAAAAATATTTTCTTCATAAAACTCGTAATAACAAATATTCAACCTACTAGAGAAATAATTATACATGTATATTATTCATTCCTTCCCCAATGTTCCAGTCCATCAAATGTAAAACTAAACTATATGAGTTACACAAAATAGTTAAATGTTGCCTGACTTCGTTCATCTCTTTCTACTCTTTTCTCCCTTTCCCTTCCATTAAAATTATTCCCTATGATGAATATAGTAAACCAATATCATAGAGATGGTGGATTTTATTGTTTATTACCCAGAGGAAAAAAGACTTTTGCTGTTACATACTAACCTAAAACATGCAAAAACTATCAATAATTCCTGACTAAATAACTGAAATATACACATCAATCAATAAAGAATAACTAATTTTACGTCATTAATTTAACACTGCCAATTTCAATGTATATTTATCCCACTTTTAGTGTGATTATATTCACTGCAATTAATGCTGTGGTGTTTGTATTGCTGCTAGATCAGATCACATTTAATCAAAACAAGATTGATTTCATTGATTTGTAACTCTTACCATATTTTACCTTCATAAATAACTAAAAGACATTTATGTAATTAAAGTTGATAATCCCATGAAAACTAATTCTTTTGACTACTTGATGTTGACGATAGAATCAAATGTCTTCCTGATATAGTAATAGCTAGGTTGAATTATCCTTGAAAGTAACTTCGTAGCAACTATATTTGAAGTAGACAGTTGGTAAAATTTCCGTAATAAGTTGGCAAGAACTTCATAACAATGTTTCAATTTTTAAGTAAATAGAAATAGCATTACTCTCATATCGATACGCAATATTAGCACTAGGTTCTTTTTAAGTGGCTTATTTAGTATTTAGTTTTTGACTTAGTCGGTTAAAATTTAATCAATGAAGTGTAATTATATACTAGTGGATAGTTTTTCGTACTAAGATGTTATACACCACAGTTGACTTCTCAGAAAACCTATCTAAAACATTTTGTTGCAATGTTTTTGATTTTATTTCTGAAATGCTACTTTTGTAAATTCAAGAATCGTTTGATGTATTGAGTGTACTACGTTGTACACTTACTGAACACTCCTATAATGTACGAGAGTTTAATCATATGCAAGAAACATAAATTGTTGTATGAAGTATCTTGTCCCAGTTTTAAAGATGTTGACGCTAACACTTTTTGCTTGTACCAGTAACTGTGATCACAGTTTTACATTTGGAAAATTAGCGATGAATGAACACTAAAAGGTGACCTTACTTTTTAATATTATTGTCAAAAAATATATATTAATGATTCAACTTGCAGATAAGATTTATTTAAAGCTAGGGACAAGCAAACACTTAAATTATAGACCCATTTTTATTAGCTACCATCCATTCCTTAGTTTTAGCTGTCATCCAATATCTGAAGGGATGATAGTGTTAAGTTCATCTCTGAAGATTTATGATTCGATAAAACACTTGTTCATCTAAGCTCAGTGGATGTATTTAGAAAGTTGATCGATTGTTGTTCCTTCGGGTTATTCATGACAGATTGGATTTGACTGGTTGTATTCTTCCATAAAAATGATTATTTTTTGAGCATGTACTTTTTCATACACTACGGTTTATGATCAGGTATAACCTTTGGTTTACCAGATTATTGCACAATCTTTCAAATTATGTTTGATTTCAAATTAATGCGTTATATCAGATGATTCACTCACAGTTTATTAGTAAAAGATGAACCATGTATATTGAAGCTCTCTTATTTTGCATTAAAAATTGACATGTACAGGATAACCTAGGTTAGAAAACTCTACATTTCATGTACGAAGCGATTAAAACCAACTAATTTCAATATAATTGGTATTTCATCAAGATTATAATATTCATTATTATGAGTACAAAGATATGGTTTTAGTTTATGAAAAGGGCAATGATAATTTTTCACTCACTACGTTTTATATTTTTCACTAAAACCATTATCTACTACATACAGATTTTGATTCGGTACTAATTCCTTGCAATTTTTATTCTTAATGCCAAGTAAATATTATTTTTAACTTGTCAAAGGGTTTTAGACATCGATTTTGATTCAGGGAAACTATTATCGATCTGAATTCAATGTTTCTTGGTATGTTTATCTCGCCTGTCATTTAGGGATTAATTCGTATGTCTATATACAGCCTATTCATTCTTGAAATATAAATTCTATCCCCTATTGTTTAAGTCCACATGAATACACATAATAACGATGCAATTAAAGTAAAACTAATTGAAATACTAAATTCAGTACTCAACTAATATATAAAGTCACACTTTCACAGACATAGATGAACAGATAAAAATCGATCAGTTCGATTAATAGAAATGATTATCGATGAGTATATTTTAGTCAACTAATTATTTATTTATTAGAGGGGTTTGTATAGGGTTCTATAATAATTTACTAGTTTTTCTGACCTCAAGTCTTTGTTACTTGATAATAATGAAATACAATGGCTAAGAAAGATGGGAATTTATTTTATTTAATGAATATGTTTATATAATTTTCAAATCGTAAGATAGAAAACGAAATAGAGTAAAGCGGATAAATTTATTTGATGAACACTATTGGGTCTTCATATTGCTGTTGCTATTAAACATTACTAAAATGTAACGGTCTTTAGGGCTCTGAAGAGTATGAGGATTTACTTTATCGGGCATAATATTGTTTCATGGGGTTTTCCAACATACAAACAACTATTCTGGGAAACGTCCTGTATCTTAATGAAAGTTGATAGATATTTAATTCCATGCAGTTATTAAGAGATCCCCGAGGAAATTAATAGGAGGCAATTCGCTCAACGTTTACTGATTAAATATACTGAGTTAGAATAAAGTATAAAAAACGATCGAAATCAAATAACACATGTAAATTAACTTTGTTGCCCGGATGTTTCTGTACTAACGGAAAATAAAGTACGTCTATCCAATTTTCCCGACGAAATAAAACAAAAGGGCACAGTGTTTTATATTTGAGCACTTCATTGTGAAGAAGAGAATATAAATTGAGAAGCTTTAACATCTGTTAATGAGGAAATTTATTTATTAAGGTAAGTTTCAAGTTGCTGAAATGTGCACATGAGCACATGGACGTCATGGCTGAATAAGTACATTAGGAAACTAAATTAGTTAATGAAGAATGAACAATTCAAACTAGTCACCAATTATTCTTGCCTAAAGGAAAGATGAATCCATTCAATAGCATATAACTAACTGTGATTCTGATTTATTTTCGCTTTTTGAAATACTAAGTGAAAGACTCTTTTGCGTCCTAAGTGTTGAGAAAGATTGTTAAAATATTCTGTTAGTTCACAAGTAATTGCCAATGGAGCTGTCTGTATTGTGTTGCGCTTATTGAACATCTAAATTTATTAACTTGAAACACTACATGGGGAAGATGGGCTTTGGATTATCAGCAAAACTTTATGACTCATGTAAACGTTCAATGCCATAAACAAATATACTTCTATTCGTTATGCTTTTATAATCTTCTGAAAAAAAGATTTAACAGTAGTGAGGTGAACCATTCTGTTTACAAGGAAATAACGGATATACAACTAAACAAGCATAAAACTGCTGTTTAATTTTATATGCTACTTATGTGTTTATTGTCACGTTGCAGAAAACACTTTGAGTATTTATGATAAAAAGTTGCCTTAAGTGTTCTTACGATGAAAAATTCGACGAAAATTCGTGTAATTTCTGTCAAATAAAATATACTATCTAATCTTCAAAACAAGGTCAGTGTAATGCTTCTGTGTGTGAACACAGGATGGTTTGCTAGCTTGGATTATATTTGCCTTTAGTTGCATTGATAATACAACAATAAATTACTCAACTTAAATAGCTTTGTATACCTATGAACAAAGTTAGAAGTCTCAGAAATGTTTTCAATATTGTCGGTTTTAAATTTTATTTACTTAGAGTTAGAGAAAACTTTTCTTGCTGACATCTACATACCAAATAACCATATTGTTTATATCCATGTTTCCAGCTTGCTGATTCTTATGTTTTTAAAGACTAGGTCCGGGAAATAGATCTCATATGTAATTATTTTGGTTGTTGTTGGTTTCCAAAACCGTCAAAACGTATAAGGTCAACGTTTTAGTATACTTTCACTTACTGTGGATGTAAATAACTTTAAGTCATATAAATTCCCCAGCGAATCCTCAAGAAAACCATTCCTTTTGGAGTAACATTAGGACCCTTGGCTGTAGAATAATCTTACTACAGGTCAGCTTATCTCTGCCTTATTTCATGTCAAGAATTATTTGTATGATTTATTGAAGTTATTCATTTATTGAAATCCTAACATGTAACATTTATTAATACTTTTCTGTTATAACTTTACCTACTTACTACGAATTAAGTACTATAAACAGTAATTTCCATTACAAATCAGGTTAGATGTTAGATAGTCAGGTTCGGTTAGTTTTGGATATGAGAAAAAATAGTCATAGTCGGAGATAGGTTTAATATAATCCGAAAAATCCATGAAAACTCTCCGAGCAGTTAAATTGTTGAATGAAACAAGGAAGTATCTTTTGGATTATCTATTTATACACTTTGACACAGTGCTTGGGAAAACGTGTGTTAGACGCTTATGGTAACTTAATCGTTCCACATGTCATATTATTAACATTCCTATGAGAAACAAATGCTCTTGTGCATTATCGAATGTGCATTAGCTGTTTGCAGTACTTTCATGTATAAGCAGGCTTACTTAATTATATCTGTAACTTGTAATTTTGATATTAAACGTTCTTATGTTGATTATGCAGAATTGGATGAAGATACTCATCTAACTGAATCAATACAAGCTGATCAAAACGAATCACATACTTCCGAAGCTACCCAAAAGCCTATATTTCCTGATAACAATTCAAATGTTTCACAATCAACTTCATCCGTTGAACTGAAAAGCACATCTGAAATGTTATCAAATGACGAAAACATAACCACTACCTCTGAACTCCAATGGGAATCAGTTGGTCCACAAAGAGGCCGTACTGTTACAAGATGCAATGTTGTCCAAAGTAGAACAAAGCGCGTGAGTTTTATGGACATATGTTATGTTAATTATAATTACTGAAAGTATTACTTGTAATATTTTCGAATAACATGTCATTATGACCAGGTCACTCATTTATTCTACTTACTTTTAAACGGTTCACTGACTTTTGTTAACTACAAAAAGTAAATACTGTTAATGAATGAATAGTTAAAATGATTTTTATGGTTAAAATTTAAAATCATTTTTATCTGTTTACTATGTTTATTTTGAATAGTTGGGAAGATAGAATAAAATTTGTTATGATGTTTATCATAATAGAATTGATCACATAAAGTTTATCTTACTTAACTGCCGGATTGCTTTCATTATGTTTAAGAGTATTGAATAGATAAGCTTAATAAATTGATTATGCTGAAAATTCTTTCTTCAAGTATTTTATTGATTTATATTACAATCATTTTCATAACAAATAAAACTGAACGAATGAAGTATAAAAATATTTGAGGTGATATTTTGAATGATTTACTCAAGTATAAAAAACATTTGTTTGTTTTACTAAAATATCCATATGACTAAAAATAATACATCATGAAACGTGAGACGACAGTGTTAAATTTTTTGTTGTTCAAAATAGATTTATAGCTGTTTGATTTATACATAACGTTATGCTGAAGTTAAAAAAAAAATAATTCTTTAAAAATTGAATTAAACTAAGTTCTGAAATGTTGATGGGAATAACTGATGACCTCCCTATGTAAGTCAGTTCAGGTCATTTCCAAATATATTTGAATAAATAAGAAAAAAGTAATCGATAGTCATGCGTTTAGTGTAACGGATTTTTCACAAATCATCCATGACAATAACAGTCTTTGTATCTGACTTCATCTAATGATTAGAACGACTCATTTTTATTAACCATTTATTCGATAAGGATAATGTGTACTTAACACTTCAGATCAGTTAATGAATTGTGAAGTGACCTCTCGTTTTACCTCCCTGAATCCGTTTCCATCATACTCTTAAACCCTAATAGTTAAATACTATTATTGTTTCCAATACCTAAATCGGTCAGTTAAGATTTGAAAAACCATTCACTACTCTATTTCTTGAAACTAGATCTCCTTTCTTAGCCTCTGATTACCCACCTTTTTACCTTCAGTAATTCCAAACGATTTCCTTTTAAATCGACCCATTACCGTTCACTTTAAAAGCCATCACTTTATGCACCTAGTTATTGAGTGGACAAAATGCGGAATAGAACTGGATGAAAGTGATTTGATTTAAATCTGATCTTCTCGGACGCATTCGAAGGTTAAGTTTATGAACAGGGATTCCGACTGCTTCAGCAAGATACAACAGATGAACTTGTAAACCATATGATAAATTTGATGGAATATGGTTCTCTATTTGCTTCTTTTAGTAAATGTCAAAATAGGAATTTTCTATAGTAAAAGTGATTAGTAATCAACAGTGGTTAGCGATCTGGCAAGTTCTTACGCGTTTTATTCTAATACTTTTTGAGCCAACCACTGCATTAATTATAGAGCTGACTAGAAACAGCTAAAAAGCAAGATATTTTGACATGATATAGGCATTCTCAATCTGTTGTGACTCCCTAAGCTAAATCACAGAATTTTGATTTTTAAACAAAATTTATTATGTGTATTTATGAATCAAATTATTTCATCATGATTGGTATTTTTTAATTTCTGTTTTCATTACTTATTATAATAATAAATAGATAAATATTTGAAACCTTTCAAAACATTTCGATCGCGAAGATGAAAAAGTCAGTTGTCAGCAAAATAGAAGTTAATACTTTATATCTTTATCTTGTATTTTATTCTTCACGATCTTAATAATGATAAGCAGGAATGTTATTAAGGTGAATTCAAGTCTTAAAATTGTAGTAAATACTGAATAAACACATTGTGAGTATTATGTAATTTTTTTCTCAATTTAAATTGTCTTCTACTAACCTGAGGTCCCTTTTTATTAATTCATCTAAAAATAGACCAATAATAATAATAACCAGTAAGTGTAGGATACAATCTCTTATTATCCTGCCTTAAATTAGTATCATTTACGTAACAATTGTTTATACCAATACATAGACTAAATTAAACGTCATTCATTACTAACAAATTCTTATTAGTTTCGTCAATTACAATGATAACATGCAAAATGCATTAAGTATTTATTTTAATGTAATTAAAAGAACTTCTTTTTATTAACATACATTCATTCATACATAGTTACAAATTACTTTTCTTTCATTTTCTTTTGTTTCAACATTACATTCTACGTTGATTATTGTTTTATGAATAATAATAAATTCATTAAAATACTATAGACAGTTTATTGAACTAATTCTAAGCATTTTACTAAAATATTTTAAGGTTCATCTGAAAAAAAAGAGCACATAAGCTACATTTACAAGATTTAATGTTTATTTAATATAGGTGAGTATGATTAATGTGAAGATCTATGAAATTTAATGAATTAACTAATTGAATCATGTAATTAATGTAAAATCAGTGTTGTATTGTTCAATGAAAAGTTTCATACGTGTTATATTTCTGTTAAGAGTAATAATAGAGTATAATAAATCCTATTAATCATTACATTATAATGACGAGTAATTTTAAAAGGAACAAATTGATCACTAACATGCTTTATTTTATTATTTCAGCCCTAAATTAATTGCTTTGCATAAATGTACAGTTCACTATTTACATTGATGAATACATTTAGCAATTATTTTCATTTAAAAATTATAATATAATCTGAACAAGTTGAATAAGCCAGATTAAAATTCATTCAGTTTGTTATAGAATGCAATTTACTTTATTGGTCTTAAACTGATAAAGTTAGTAATATTTATTCATGATCAAAAATTTATGTTTTACTAAAGTTTATGATATCGACAACGTTCAAAGTTACTTTATTTGAATATCGTTATCACTTGGTTCTTCATGGATTCCAGTAATTTGATATAAATTTATGAACTCAACCATGAACGATATATATATTTTTTTAAAGGCTTCCTAATTCATGGTTGGTTCGAACTTGTAGTTATATGATTAAGTTAAAGATCATTATTCACTTAACTATCAGATCCGTTTATTCTCTATTGATTTTGGAGATTTTTCTACTGTTAGATTTTCCCTTCGCAACCATAATCTTTTTATAGGTCAGAGGAATATTCCAATAAGCGCTTCTTATGTATCTATCCTGTACCCACTGTATTTAATCCAAATTATGATATCTTGATAACTGTTTTTACTGCTTCAAATACAATCCTGATACTGTTAAAAAACTGAACTGCGTTAATGGCTTACAAACTTCGGAAAAATACCTAATATTCTTCTCCTTCCATAACTAGAGGACAGTTTCGCGATATACAAATAAACAGTAATTTGGAGCTAATTGAAATGAATTGGATTCCTCTAAATCAATGAATGCTTTTAGTAACTTCTTAAGTGTACGGTTATTGTGATCAAACAGACAACTTCCTCCTAGATGATAAGTAGTTGTTTATGCTTTTCATCAACATAGTTTCCTTTGTGGCATATTCCGAAAGTTGGAATCGAGATTTAACCATAAATGTACAACAGTGTCCTAACGAATAACTATTTGTTTAAAAGTTGTTTTGTTAATGCTCGAATAACCTTTCTCTTAAATTGCTGCTTTTAACCACTTCATATATGAACAACAATTACTAAGTATGCTTAGTCACCTACCTATAGAGTCATTTTTTCCTTCATTTTCCTATAAAATCCAGAGTGTGTCTTAATGATGGGACAAAGGGCGTATTAAAATTCAACACCATATCACTTTTACGGTCACCTTGAACAGCATTGTTTCTGTTAGCACGGTTAAAAAGGATTTTGCTTTTAAACTTAACGCTGAGCTATTTCAGGGTTGAGGTATACTCGAATATCAGCCCATTAGAAAAATCTTATATAAATCTTAAATAAACCGTATACTTTGGCGAAAGGCTATCTTTCGTATGCTAAATTGATTGATTAATTAGTTGTCAGCTTTTTCATGTTCAGTGCTGATCGGATTCTATCGATCAAGTTGCAATGTGGTTACTACTCTTAATGACTCGACATCTCGTCCGCCATAGTGAGATGCTATGTAAATAGAAGTGGTGGACTAGAAACCGTGAACCTATTATAAAGGCGTATCTATAATTTTGATGAAACCTATGTTTCCTTTGGGATTCAAACTCGCATCAAGAAGCTGAAAAGTCTTTTATATTGCTAGTGAGTTATTCAGACAGCAATTGACCTCCTGTAGAATAGAAATATTTTCATCCAATTGATAACTGAGTAGGTTAAATGAATCCTTAAACAAAAATTTCATTAGTAATCGAATTTTTCTAAACTTATGAATTAAATAGCACTCTATTTATCAATACGATCATTTATCACTGGGTTCATGCATAAATATATGCTGTGTTGTTCATCGTTTAACAAATTATCGACTGTCTAGTTTTTATTTAATCATAAGTACATTAAAAATGTATAAATACATACAGTTGTTTTATTACAGATCAGTTTTTCACAACGTTTGTAGTAATTGTCCTAGACAGTAAGTTAAGCATTTAAATCAGTTGCTATCACTATTTGATAAAGGTTTCATATGAACTAAAATAGTCTCTAAAATGTCAGTGTGAAAATAAAATTACGTGGCTGGGACATATGCAACTGTTAATGAGTTTTATTTAAAAAGCTTGATCTTTAAACATTTCCTGTGAATTTTTGCTTTCTAAGACGAAGTGATCAAAAAATATCTGTAAGAATTCAAGTAGAAATCTGCTAATCAAAAGCTAACAGTTGTTGTGAAGTAATTTACCCTAGAATCTTATTTCACCCAAGTCGTCTGATTTGAAATTGAAATTCCGTGAATTCATGAGTTTGAATTAATAGTGTACTGGAAAAGTTCATTATTGATATATCTTTCTAGTTAAAGTGATATTTTTCTTTAAACAACTGCAGATATTTATTTACTCAGTTTATATAACAATTATTATTTGTATTAATTGTTTTTCGCATTCTGAATTAACGGTAATTATAAATCATTCATACAGTTTGTATTGATACATTTTCTGTAGGATCTTAGCAGATTTTACTGAATAATTTGCTTTCTGTCTTATATTCTTGCGTTTCCCATACTAAACTTGTACTTTATGTATCTAATGTAAATTGAGAGGTGAAATAACACATTTTCACGTAATATTTTCAATTATATTTACAATTGAAGCAAGTATCTGGTTTGTAAGGACTTTATGCACTTTTTATCGCCATTTAGTCTGCAGTTCACTCGGGAAGACAGTCAGCAGCGAGCTTGAAAAACTCTCCTAAACTTCTGGCTATCAACAGAAACCTGGAACCCGCAATTACTCCCAGTGACACAAGTTCTCCAGATGATGGGACCGGATTTCAAAACCCCAATCCCCCAGTTTGTCTAGTTTCTCGGCATTCCCCAAGTTGCCGTAGCAGAATTCGTATGCGTGATGAACAAATTATTGCTAGGTTAAGGACAATTGTTAGTCGGGGTAAACCTTCAGAAAAATATGAAACCCTTGGACGTATTGGTCATGGGTACGTTAATCAGTAGAATTCTATTTCTTTATTTTCAGAAATATTGTCCTGAGATTACATCACTTGAACAGTGAGAATTCACTCAAGTAATCGTAATAAAAACTTACACCATGTATGCTGCTGTGTGGCTGTGGTCCGGTTTTTAGTTGGAAATTTCCTTGAAGGCTCAAAACTCCTCATGTAATATTTGTATCCATCTCAGCACCATTAACTGAGTCCTTTTAAGATTTTCGTCACAGAATGAAATACACTTACTCTAAAACGTCGTGAAAATAGCTTTTTATCCATGAATTCAGATATCCTCTCATTACTATGGACAATAAGTAATATCTAAAAATGGACTAACACGTTGGCACTTCTATTATCTTAATGATAAAGTGTCATTTTCTGGGTTCACACGTTGACTTTTTATTCAATGACTAAACAAATTGAAATACACTACAGGTTTGCGAAATTTTAATTATGAAAACTGTTATATTAAGTATAAGATGTTTTAAGGAAGTCACTGGAAAACTATCTATCTAGAAATCATACTGCAAATAAAATCCATTTCAAATATCAAGAACATTTTCGGAATGCTTATCAATCAAACCAATGTGAAGTTTTAGTTCATCTGCTCAACAAAAAATCATGTGATTCTGAACATATTATTGTTATATCTAGAACTTGAATTTTCACTATACCGCGTAAAACTTGAGCATTCGAACACATGATCCCTTCAATTCGCAAGTTAGAATACAGAAAACGATTGGAAAAGTATCGTATACCAACTAGTGTCAAATACGGTACAAAACACTCGGGTATTTATAGTTTTTAGTAAAAAGGAATTTATCATTATGATTATCCAATCTGCATGCAGTGGTTTTTAGCATGTGTTCAATCAGGAAGCTACACGTTGGGTTTTCGGAATGTTCCTCCAAACGATGATTGAATGGGACATCTTTAAATCTTTCAGAGCTTCCTTGAGTTCACCGGGATCCGTCCCCACATTTAGTATCACAAATATTGTTGTAGACCAAAGTAATGAAAATCATAATGGGAGAATAACACATGAAGTGTTTTTATCATTCTTTTAGCTTTTATTCTCATTTCATACTGATTAACACCTGTCACACTAATTGTATTATACATTTAAGTCTTATTAATATATGTGGTGTGAGATTCACTAAGATATGCTACGTGATTCTTCGATCGTTCTTGATTTATCTCATTCCGTCCTGCGAAAACAATACTTAAAGAAATTCGACGAAAACGCTGTTTTCGGTTGATTATTTCTTACATACAACTACCTGACATGGTTAATCATGTTCTGCTTTCGAGTCAGAAGATTTAGATGACAAGATCGAATGATTTATTGAACTTACCTCAAGTAGTGGATAGCTTATAAACTATCATGGGAATACAACTATATTTTTAAGACCTCACATGAATTGAGTATCCTGAAATCGTCCTTAATTACGGTCGATTGTTGAAAATAAAATCCAATTATCTGCTTACAATTCGACTTTTTTTTCTTCAAAATAAAATAGATTTTAATTTATAAAAGAAGAACACACCTAATTATGTAAATGACACTGAGGACTAAAAATAAGTTAATTATGTTTCCTTCTGTTTAAATTTTAAGATCATCTTTTTATCCCCTTTACGTTTAAGATAATTGTTGTACTTTCATTATGACAATTCATACTTATTGATAATGTTTAGAGCTTCGGGTGTTGTTTATATCGGTCGAGAACTTCAGTCTGGGTGTCGTGTAGCTATTAAACAGATGAGTCTACGACAACAACCTAGAAAAGAATTAATCCTCAACGAAATTTTGGTTATGAGAACATATCGAAATCCAAATGTAGTCAATTACTTAGATAGTTATTTAGTAAGTTCCCTGTACCATCATCTATTGTTTTTTTCGCTTACTACTCACCCCATTATTACTATATCTTACCTAGTTCAAATTACTTCTGACGGTGTAAAATACTTGACTGAATATTCAATCTGACTGATAATAACATTTTTGTTACTATCACTTTATATTAATTATGTTGTCTATAAATTTTGATTCCGTTATTTCATTTGACCTACATACTAATTTAAACGTACATCATGTGCAAATATTTTCAACATTCGCAAACGCTAACATCAAACACAAACTGCTGAAAACTTCACCGAATATACAAAGAGCCAAAATAGTACGAGCAAAACAGCAAACTTTGCTTAATACCAAAGTAAATCAAGCTATTAATGTTATTTACCGCAACTAAGAATATAAAAAATGTTACTCATATGTCATTAGTAAGTTATAATTTTTAGCAAACTGAATGGTTAACCAACTAATCACGTGGTGTTAAAACATTGATGATGTAAATGTATCATATTTTTTAATATTTTCACTTTATTCAGTATCGAAACATACCTAATCAATTTATCACACGAATTCCGTGTATTCTATGTTTTCATTAAGAGTTTCCGTGATGCATATTAAATGTATTGGAAACAGCAACTACAGTATATCAAGATGGAAAGACTTTATTAATTACTTGTTCTGGCTGAATCGTAGTGTTATATTTTATGAATTCATTGATTTAAGTGCTCTTAGAGATTGGCGTTGCACTAAAAATTGTCTCGGTATCACAATGAGAGTGATAACAATTTGATGATTGTCATATACGCAGGTAGATGCATCAACATTATATTACTTATCCGGCTAATCTTGTCATATCTTGATAATATTTAGGTAAAGAATAGTTCGTCCGCGTTAGATAAATTCCTGAAAATTTAATTTATTCTGTTATGACTTATGTCCGGCTTTTACCACGTGACTTATCCACTAGTCAAAATACGACTTATACAATCTTCGCACTGTGCCAAAACCAATGACGTTCGACCGGTATGAGCAGCCTAGCGTCTTGTTTGGTCCTATGTCTGCCTAGCTCGTCCACTTGAGTCTAAACATACAAACAGACCGCATCGCACCAAAAAAAATAGGAAATAATATTTGTCCACAATAAAGCCAAAAAGTGGCTGTGAACGTGGGAGGCAGAAGCTAATAAACTGAGCATAATTTAGGGACAGTAAATCGTATAATAATAAATTTTAGGTCAAAATGAAGCTTATGATAAGAGGAATATAAATATACATAATCTAATTATTGAATAGTTATACAATAAGAATATTTACAGAATATTAGTCCATTAATAGTCCTCGGAAGTTACCCGTATTTTAATCTTCACTGGGATATAACATATTCAACAAAATTAAAGTTTACAATTTACTCTTAACTTAATACCTAGCTAGGAGATGAATTGTGGGTCGTAATGGAATATTTAGATGGTGGTTCATTAACTGATGTCATTACAGAAACATGTATGAGTGAATCACATATTGCTACAGTTTGTCGTGAAGTAAGTCCACTATAAATTTGTACTTTCACATTTATTTATCTCTTAATGCTAAAAATTAATGTCACTTGTCAATATTTCAAATAACTACTGTGTTTCCACTTGTTTTATCGCGATTCATTAACTGTCAAGTCCAAGTATAAAGATCAAACTAAAACAAATTTGGACAGCTGTTTTTGGTTAGCTTTAAGAATTGGTAACCTAATACAGTCAATATCTTATAAATTACAGTCAGCTCACAGTGGAGATACGTTGTTTAAATAATAAATTTCAGATATATGAACTGAGCTCTTCATTGAGAATTCCCCGTCTAGAAGAAAAATGGATGACGTTTTAATAATATACAGTAAGCATTTTGATCTACCTTAATTCTTAGATGGAATTAATGATATGCAAAATAATTTCATGCTAACTTATGAGAAAAAAAATAGTATGTTTCTGAGTTAAATTGATGTTAACTCAATAAGATGGTCAAGCTACAATGGATCCATTTCAGTAGGACATTAAGTGTTTTCATTTATATGTATAAGTGATGTGCCACTTCATGAGAATCCAGCGTATTTAAAATGTCGATATAATCCATTATATTAGACTTTTAACTTAAAAACTAATATAAAGTGATACCCCTTAAAGTTTGTAAACGAATGTTTATTCATAAGAAAAAGATTTATTTTACATTATTGTGTTGTAAGTAGTCAATCATTTATAAATCAGTTGGTAGTAACTGTGATATACTCTTAATATATTCGTTTATTAATTAACCTTACAATTTATGCTGTCAAGATAATCAGCTATCACAAAATCAAGTGGAATTTTATTGACGAGTTGACGAATCATGACAATTCATGATTCCCATTTCATAATTAAGAAAGAATTTTTGAGTATTTTGACAAAATGAATGCTTCGGCAATAAGTCATACACAGTAGTTAGGAATATCACAGGCGTTGAATATCTTATAATGGAGTCAGGATTAAAGGGGATATAAAAAAATTGTTTATTTTTGAAGAGTGTTTCATTCATCAAAGATATTGCATACGCAGTAATATTACTTTAATGTAATATTGACTGTCAATTAGTTTATATAATAATAAATTTGAATGAATGTGCGCTGACACTAATGTGAAAATTCATTTAATATCTTCATTATCTGTGTAAAAATACATTTTTGGTAGGCTTATGTATTTTGAATAAGGATAATAACAATATAAGTAATAATAATAGTAGTGTTTATGTATGTATGTTTACTTGCAAACCAACAAAAAAAAACAAATCAATAACAGGATATCGAATATCTAACTTCGACAGGGTTTATTCTTTTCCATAAGGTCAGAAAAATCCATTGAAACTATTGTGTACTATTAACAACAATAACTGACTGTAGGTTTATTCACGTACAATATTCACTCGATTATAGAGGCAACACAAGTATTTTTGCATTAGGATAGTATTTTAAAAATGTTTTAATTACTATGAATAAACTTATTTGATTTCACTGATTTAATTTAAATTATTTCTATGTAAATCATTTTTGATGTGGATTTAAGAAAGTAGAGAAGTATACACTTTTCTACTGTGAAATGATGTTAGAAGGTATGCTAATGAACTTTGGACATGTAACATAATAGTATCAACCAACAAATTTAACTGTACTTAAAATAAATTTATTTAAGATAGATTTGATGAAGCGAAGTTTCAATAACATTCATTGAATCAATTATTGATCTTACTAACCTATTTAATCTCGCCTGTTACAATTGTAGAATACAGGCCACTGATCAGGATTCTACAACCAACTCTATTTTGGGCTCTCTTTTCCAGTTATTTCCAAATATTATTGTTTTGATGTCTGCCTCTAATTCCCAACTCAATCTGTTCTATGGTCTCCCTCTTTTCATTTTACTTTTGGGATTCCAAGTTAGTCCTTGCCTCGTGATTCAGTTTGATGATTTCTTCAATGTATGTCCTATCCAATTCCAGTTTATTTTCCTTATTTTCTCTTCAGATGGAAGTTGGTTTGTTCTATTTCACAGTAAACTTTTGCTGATGATATCCGACCGACGGACACTAAGTATCTTGCATGAACAACTGTTTTAAGTACCTTAACGTTCTTGATGGTGATTGTGGTAGTTCTCGAAGTTTCAGCTCCGTACAGTAGAACTGTCTCGATGTTGGTTTTGAAGATTGTGAGTTCGATGTCGGCTGATATTTGTTTTGAGTTCAACTATAGGAATACTGCCCATACCTTGCCGGTCCTTAACTTTACGTTTGCATCGATCCTCCTTGTTCATCGATGATGCTGTCTAGATGAGTGTAATTCTTCACTGTTCCAGAGCTTCTCCATCCAGTGTGATTGATTCGGTGCTTTCAGTGTTGTATTTGAGGTTCTTGGTTTTTCCCTTGTATGTTGAGGCCTACTGATGTAGAGGCTGCCGCTACACTGGATGTCCATGATGAAAGTACGGAAATCCACAAATCTCCCGCCATTTTCGTCCCTTTCTCCCAGTCCATGTTGTCCCATGATGTCCTCATACTCGGTGATGTCAGCTTGATGTTTACGTCTCTCATCAAGTTTGTCAGGTCCTTTCCTGAGCAATTCTCTACGATGGTCTGCAGCTTCTCATAGAACTGATCTTTGTTGTCTTCATTGCAATCATTTGTGGGTGCATAACACTAGATAACATTCATTGTGATTCCCTCCTTCTTTGTTTTAGAGGATGCGTTACTGATTCCAGATCCATGAGATTCCCATTCGATAAATGCTTTTAGTGCTACTTTGAACAATATCAGTGCAACTCTTTGGGTGTGCAGAGCACTTTTTTCTCATACCTAGATTACAACAGCAACTCTCCAGAAGCTTATGTATTCTGTCCATCTTAAATCCAATGGGTTTCACGTATTTCGAGCATCGCCATGTTGTACATCCTCATTTCCGCAGCTATTAGACTGAAATATCCGCTCTCCCATATTGTGCAGACATTCTATATATCTATGTTAATTGTTGTTGATTTGGTTGTTAGGAGTGATATTATCCTCGTGACTTCCGAAGAGTCGGCTTTAACCATATGGTGTCATAGATCTTCTAAACGAAGGTGCTTCAAATCTCAAGGAAGAGCTTAAATAGATTGAACGATTTCTCTAGTTAGTTTTCTTATGAAAGTTGCTTTCTAGGAAATGTGGATGCTGACCACATTCCCAACTCTCCTTCTGTACACGGAATTGGGACTGGAGTAACTCTGGAAGAACTACAAGCGGAGTTTCAAAATTACGAAGCATTTCGATCTGATAATCTAAACTATGTAGAAATATAAACACATAATATACCGCCTCTGTAGGCAAACTGAGTTTACGGTCTACGAATTACAAAACTTTGTGATTAACATCAGCAGTAAATTTGTACTTCATACAAACTATTTAGTGTCAAAAAAATTTCTTTTAGAACATTGTGATCAGTGTCTGTAGAGTTTTCAAGAATAGATGCACCATCTATGCCATGTCGATGTTTAGCCATTTAAATAGCTTTTTTTATACCAAATTTAAAACGAATCTACTTTGTATAGAATAAATAATTGCTTACAGATAGACAAACACACTGGCATACTGTTATGGAGTTAACCTGAAGTATAAACTTGTATTTCACCCATCCTTAAATTAGTTACTAGTGATAAAACAATGCAGAGATGCGTAAATAAAAAGAATTTATTAACTTTGAAGAAGACGCTTATGTCATGTCCATTAACATCTCTCTCGAATTTAGTGTTTATTTACTAGAAAATATGGTTCTTCGTGTTTTATACACATATTTTTTACAAGTGTAACTATTTTCATCAGTACGTTCGAAATATGTTTTTAACTGTTTATTCATTTCATAATCTATGCATAATTTTCTGATCAATAAAGATTTCACATTAAATCATTCGACCGGGATGCATGCATTCTTAACTCCACGCAACTTATAGTCACAAACTTCTGACCTTATTTCAATCATAATGTGTATAAATCTCATCAATCAGTGACGGGGTGCATTTAAAAAGTATTTATTACACTTGTTCGAATTTTATAATTAAACTTATGTACTGTCATAAAGGTGGTACCTTCATTCATCATTCCATATAATTTTTTCTCATACAGTATATCATATCAATATGATGAGGTTTCACTATCATGACTGGTGGAACACAAGATTATAAAGAGATCGTTCTTAAAATAATCTCTTTTTGAGATTTATTTCTGTTCTCTAATACTTTATCATTACGATAAACATTACTTCAATAAAAGTCTAATACCTTAATAAATAACTGTATTTACTGTTTTTCTCTTTTTCTCATAGACTTTACAAGCTTTAAAATTTTTGCATAGTAAACATGTAATACATCGTGATATAAAGTCTGATAATATACTCTTAGGGTTAGATGGTTCTGTAAAATTAACAGATTTTGGATTTTGTGCACAATTATCTGCTAAAAATGATGATTTTAAACGAACTACAATGGTTGGTACACCTTATTGGATGGCACCTGAAGTAGTTAGCAGAAAACAATATGGTCATAAAATTGATATTTGGTCATTAGGTATAATGACATTGGAAATGTTAGAAGGTGAACCACCTTATTTAAGTGAAAATCCTTTAAAAGTAAGTACATTTAATTGTATTTTCTATAATGTTAAAAGTTATATTTAAAATAGTTGTTACATATATTAATATGAATAGACAAAGAGAATGAAAGAATGTATTTGAACAGTTGTCGACACTATTTTGTAGAAATGATTATACCAAAAAAAAGTAACTACTAGCACGTTTTGTTTGAAACCATGCTACTGTTTTTTTTTTGTTCTTGAGAAAATGGATTAAACATTTTACAGACAAATTAATTTTTACTAAATTACTGATGTATTTTTTTTAAAAAAAAACACAACCTATTTTATACTTAATAATTAATATCTCAGTAAGATCACTATCATAATATGGAAATGTTAAGTTGTCTTAATGATAATTTCAGAATTATGTAAATTTGTTATATCAAAATTATATATAATAACATAAAGAAAATACTTTATGAATACTGCTATTTAATATCTCATTCTTAAGAAGGAAAACAAAAATAATGAAAATTCAGACTTTTAAAGTTGACTAACCTTTTACAACAATTATACACATAGTGATTTCACTCATTCTGGAATGAATATATTTCATAATATGCTGCATATATTTTTGCAAATTATTATTATCATAACTTTACTGGTATTCATGTTTACAATTGAATGATTCTGTAGAATTTTCTCAAGGAATATGTTCAGTTAGAAATTAAAAAATCATGTTTAATTCTAACAAATATTTTGATAAACAATTTGTCCAGGCTGGAAGAACATGTCATCATTAAGCTTAGATTGATTAAATAAGACTTAATCATTGTCTAAAATGGTTTAGAAAATATCAAACCTTTTGTATTGATATGTAAAATGACAGATACCTTATGTCTTGTCAGTCAAAACGTTTTATACAAGTGTCTGACGTCACTGATATCACTAAATTTTGACAACATATTACCAATCCTTTTGCTCCCGTCTTCATGTCCAGTTTTTGTTTTGAATTTGCCAGGAGATTACTATGTATATTTTGGAAGTATCTCTTAGTGCTAGAAAAAAAGCCCTGATATTTCAGTTAATTTGTATTGGGAGAATAAAATAAGCAATACCATAGTATGATTCTTAAAAAACCATTACTATGTGTTCTTCAGCTTCTAAATATAAAATGGCATTACCTGATATTATTTTGTATATTGGTTATCAGTAGAATTCATAAAGTCCATTTAATAGCATTCAGTCTTAAATATTGGCAATTAGGAATACAAATCTTTATCATTATAACAACATGAATAGTAATTATCTATTCACATAGAATACCATAAAATTTCAGTTAAGATTCCGTAGCATATACTAATGCAACAACTCAAACGTCAACATTTTGAAATAATAAAACGAAAAGTATCATTAGAGAATATGAAAAAACTTAATTTTGGTTTGTAACTATTTTTGTCGTCATTTGCATCTATAAGAATCATAAAATTCAAAAGATTCACGTTTACATTTAAAATTTGTTTTAAAAAAAAAACAATTTAATGAATTTTTAATTATTTCACGACAAACTTCCAATTACTACAACTGCTTTTTTTTAATAACAGCTAAATAATATGAATGTTACATTCATAGACGTTTACAGCGTTCTCAGTTTGGTTTTGAATTTATTTGTAGAATTATCTATATCTATTGACATGATGGAATGCCACAACACCTATCAGCTTATTCATGAATTTATATGGGAATACATTCTCTAAAATGACTCCATAGAGTTATACTTACTGAAATTGTATAAAATTAAAGTCTGACATGAGTTTTGCAACTGTTATACTTAAACCCAATCTATCAAATTTTATTCATTATTTTATTGTTCATGGAAACTTTAACTATATATAGAAAAGTCCGAAAATTCATGGTTTCTCAACTTATCACTAACATATAAAATCGATTTTACCAAGTATTAAAAAGAACGAATTGATTCAACTATAGGCTATTATAATTTAAACAGCATATTTGTCGGAGTAAACATAAAAAACGTTCGACTTATTGACTATGAACTTCACATTGAAAACATTAGATAATTACTTCTTTCAAAGTCAGTAGGTTTTTGAAGTTTATCTTTGATGAGAACTTGCTTTATGTTTGTAAAAATGTGAGAGCTAATGGATATTATTTTATCATAGATGGTATAACAAACACTTATTACAACTGGAAGGTTCTAAAATTTAGTAGTAGATTTTAAGTAGAATTTCATCCTATATATATATATATATATATATATATATATATATATATATATATATATATATATATATATATATATATATATATATATATAATCACTATCATTCATATAAACCTTTTCGCTTGTAAAAATTTTGTTATTTATTTTTTAGCCCGTGATAATTCCATAAAAAATAATTATTCATTGATGGTAGTAATCTCTAAACGGAAAGCTCATTATTTTAACCTTATTATAGTTATCTTTACACAGAATATAGCCGGAAGTCAAAAACGGTGTCATTCCGTGACTATAAAAAATCATATCCCTGAAAAATGTAACTTCATTACATGTTTTAAACCTTTGAAATCAACTCGGTGCGTACTAAACTACTTGGATTTATTTAAAAAAATCCTTCCAGATCAACTCCGAGTTGCGTGCAAGCATCTTTTTTACCCATTATGAGCAATATCAATCCACACACAATACTCAGAACTTATTTATTTGTGGATTTTAATAGCAATATAAATAAACATGAATAACCATGAATTTACTTAGAGGATTTCGAACGTAGTCTATGGTATAACTTATATGATATATAGAGTCCAGTACAAAAGCATGTACATAAAGAAACTGCTCGACTATAGATAAACAAGTTAAGTATTTCTTGTTCTATTCAGAATGCTTCGATGAAAATCTCAACTTCTTGTGATATGGTTGAAATGCGTATCACTTATTCCTTACCATCACCTTATACTGAATATTATACAAGTATACGACTAAGCTGAATGTGCAATCAAAAGAAAACATAAAATCAGTTTGCTAAGTCGTTGGTTATTATTTAATACTGTTTCATAGGGTTCAGACTTATGGATAAGTATTGTCAGAATCATCGTATTTTATGCTTGAAACGCCCGATACAATGATCACAGAAGCAGATGCATTCCTCTAAAGATTCGGCTATTATTTTACACTTCGTCTATTTCATTTGTTTTCTTTAAATATATATCCCTTATATTGTCCTCACTATGACCGTCAGTAGTGATTTTTCCTGTTTTTTTATGATATTCATTTACTGTTTCTTATGTAATATAAGACAAACACAGTTTAGACTGTTCTTAATTATATGTTATTTATGTCTATCTATCGATCTTATTATCAATGGATAAAAATCATTTTTAATAACTTTACTCTTTAGTGAGATATCTTATTTGGTTAACAAAACTGTCTTTGAATAACTGTTTTTGTTTCAATAGTTAAGTCACGAGTAGATCTTAATTAAAAATAACCACTGAAAGCTAAGAAGCAATGGATACCTGTTTCGTCCTAGTATCAGGCATCTCGATAACAAGCATCCACGAACTTTCGGTGGGTCGAATACAAAATTATCACGTCTCATCACAAGTCTTTAACATTTACACCACTAAATTGACACCCAACAATTTACATGTTTGATTTTAAACAATTGACCATATGGTTCAACAATCCTCCATTGTCTTCGATGAGTAACTGCATCACCCGACGTCGTACTCTACTGGTCAAGAATTTCTACTGACTGAGATACAATATTAGTGACAGACCAATAGTTGCTGTAATAATAAATTTGACCAACACAGTTGTTCGAAAAATATATAATTCAAACTGGAAAAAACTTAGCAATAAATTCAAACCCCCTTGTATCTACAATAAAAAGACTGCAACAATGCAGCTTGTTGAGTACAGTGTAAATAGGGTACATTCAAAGGTGAGAAAGTCGACTGTGCAATGTCCAAGACTTATTGATATAGGGAGACCAGCGAGTTAGGGGTAGTCTCCTTATATAATATGGAGAGTAAAAGAACGTGCAGTGCACATGGAAAAAAGCGATTTTGAAACAAAGCACCAATGTAATGCAAAAACATTTTCATGTGTTCGTCTATGCATTTATTTGAAAAAATAGATAATGTTGTGCAAAACAATGAATAAATGAGCTCGATAAGATATTCCTATGTGGAGACATAAAGATCGTAAATTTAACATTCCAACCTAGTGATGATCAACGAATTAGTAGATATTTACGTGAAAATATATTTTCCGCCTATAAATATCATTATGCAATCATTTCACGGATAGATAAGTGCAAGATAAATTGAATGAAAAAGAACGGAGATCGGTTTAGTTGTTTGAAGGTTTTGCTCAAAAGTGAGTTAACGAAATTCGCGATCATGGTCATTTCCATAGGATTTTGTTGTACGGACATTCTATCTAAATTCTCGGGTCATATTTTCTGACATAGCTTTTGAACGAGGGGATGGATTTTGTCCATTCTTGGTGTATTTTTGTTGAACAAACGAACAATCAGGAAATTTTGATCACCAACAAAAACTGTTTACATTCCCATATTTTTACTGAGCGTCCGAACTTCTTGGACTACCACTCTAATCACCTACTAGTGAGAGCATGGTCAGTACTACAATATGGGTTTGATTTTCCCTTGTATAGTAAGGTTACATGACTATAACAGCAAATACGTCATTTATTAAATGTTTTACATTTTATCTAGGAATAGAAACAACTTTTGTATAGAAAAAGCTTACTTCACAAAAAAAACAGTTTTAGACCTGATGCTTCTAGGTGTTTTCTTATTTTTTGTAAAAGTACTAATTCCGTGAGGAAATGTGAACACAGTTAATAAAAAAGTTATAATACTAGATTACGTAATACGAATAATAATAATATATTAGATTTAGTGAATATAATAAGATGATTAAAATGTTTTTGTCATAATAATTAAAGGTCATAGAGGTGTAAAAAATAAATATGGTGATATGATGAGTATTCACGAATAAAACAATGAGAATATAAGACAGGAAGTACGTCTTATCGTTATCGTTACCTTGGCCTTAAGCATTTTGATTATCCCATTATTATTATTATTATTATTATTATACTTCATTCCCCCCTTTACTTATGTCTTATATTCTCATTGTTTTATTCGTAAATACTCAACATATCACCTTATTTATTTTTTACACCTCTATGACCTTTAATTATTATGACAAAAACATTTTAATCATTTTATTATATTCACTAAATCTATTGTTATTATTCATATTACGTAATCTAGTTTTCTTATTTCATGAACAGCAAAAGAATATGGTCACGATACTTTGAAATGTATCATTCCTTTGTATATTAAATGCAAACATATTCTCAAAAGAATGTAGACACAAAAAAAACGAAATATTTTAATACTTCAACTATATCATTATCTTTCATAAATAAAATAAAACACTATTGATATTCTATTTAATTAGTCTATATAGTTCAACTGTATTTTGCTTGATATTCATCTGGATGGATAATATATATATTTTTTTTAAAATTTTAACTATACAAATCTATTCGGATTCTTTTAAGATATCATATAAGTTGAAATGGTTATTTAGACATTGATATATGAGTTGAATAATACTATCTTCATTACATAGTTCTACTCGATAAAGCAAATTTTAATCGATAAACAAATTTGAACATTTCTTTTTTCATTTTAATTTAACAAATATTATATTAGAAGGGGTTTTGTGGAGATTTTAGTGATTTCAATAGTTGAAATCATGAGTCAATTGAAGCTAGACTACTATGGAAAACCTGGAAGCACTAGATGGCCGAATCTCGCGGGGCGCGGGATCGTGGATGCGCACTGCTGAAGAGTCCCATACTAGGATGAAACGGCCATCCAGTGCTTCCAGGTTTTCCATGGTCGTCTAGCTTCAATAGACTCATGATTTCAACTACTGAAATATTATATATCGGATTATTTATTTATCATTGACAAATTTATAATGAATGTCAAACATATAAGAATCTTTTATTCCTTGAAATGAACAAATTACAAATATGAATTATTCAGGTACTTGTTAAAAGATGTTTAGAGAACTATAATTTCAATATCATTCAGTCAATAAATGAATATTTTCAACTCTATAAATTATATTCTATTTAACAAAAGAAAAATAACATTTCTGTAATATCTTTCCACTTGTACATTATTTCGTTTAGAAAACTAACGTAAAATAATTGATAGAAAAGTATCAATTAATAATAAACATCATTTTATAATAAAAACGAAATTTCGGTAAAACTTTATTACTGTATATTTAATTTCTATACTTACAGTTTGTAAAAAAGAACCAAATCAATTATATTTAAAGGAAACTATTTACAATTGATTGATCACAAGGTGGTGATCAATATCATGTAAGTCAGGTCCATCTTAGAGTAGATAGAATCCTATCGAACAAGTTGAAATGTAACCAATAGTCTATGTGAATCAACATAACGTGCACTATGTTGAGATAAGATGATGGGTTTCCTGTTGACTACCTCCAACCACTATCTTATCTTAAAGAAACTAGTCTAGAAAACAAATCAGATTCATATTTTAAAAAATTCTTATCAGTTTCCTCTTTATTATTTTTCTTATATAAATATTTAGGCATTATATTTAATAGCAACTAATGGTAAACCAAATTTTCGTAAAGATAATCTTAGTCCGGAATTATTAAACTTTCTTGACAGATGTTTAGAAGTGGATGCTCAATCTCGTGCTAACGCATCTGAACTAATTGAAGTAAACATTTTTTATTTTTAAATAACTGATTCATTTATTAACGTTTTGAATAGATTTTATAATGCTCTGTGAAGGATGAATAAATAATGTTGTATACGAAGTGAATTATGCTCCATTTCTCGATATTTTTAACGTGATTATAGCAACAACAGTGTAGAATAAATCTTATTCTACTCAGATTCTTTTTCAGTTAGAGAGGACAATGAGATTAGAACAATTTTCGAACTTAATCCCGAACTATAAGCTTGTCATATAGAGATAAACGATAGCAGTATCTAAGTAAGACTGTGCAAAGTAAACGTAAACGGTTATGAGGTATCATTATCAAGGTTTGACTTGCTAGTTTCGAATAAATTGAGCATTAGGGTAGATTGTTATAAATCAATTAATATACTTGTAATATCCCAATGAGTAGGAAAATTAGGTCTTCTACTCATTGGGATGTCACAAATGTATTATTTATTTGTAAACGGTTATTCATTTTTTAAAGGTGACGTTAAACAGGAGACTGAAGCAAGTGCCTGATAAAATGGTTCTCGTGCTAATCGCTTCTCGGAATTTAATGTTTGTTTGTTGCAGATTGCTAAATTACTATCCTTGTGGATAAATGTCACTCTGAACAATTTGACTGGAACCTTTTGTTATAGCCCAAAGCCGCCAATCAGAAGCAGCGAATTGTCGATCAGATCAAGGACGGGTAAAACACGTGCAAGCAGCCTAGAGTTATGATTGGTCCTGCTTTCGGCCTAGCCCATCCAGTTAAGTCCAGAACGCCAATCTCAGCATCTGCAACATGAATCATTATATTTCAAACATACTGAGTTTATATACCAATCAAACAGACCACAACGTAGCATAAAATAGAAAATAACATTTATACAAATTTGGCCAAATGTGGCTGTCAATGTGTGAGGCAGTGACTAATAGATAGGGCATAATTCAAGAATGTTAAAACGTAAAATAATGGTTCATAGGTCAAAATAAAACTTATAATAAGAGGAACATGAATATGAATAGTTTAGTTACTTAACAATTATACAATAAAAATATACGTTTAGTATTGGCCCATAAAAGGATCTTGAAGTTACCATTCATTATGTTTATCGGGACCTAACACCTTTTATCTGTTAGATTAAGGATTTATTCATTTTATATAAAGAACTATATTGTAATAACATATTTACGACTATCGGTATATTTTGGCTTAAGTCAGCTCTAAATAATCTACTACCATGAAATTGTGTACTATTGATTAAATAAAGTACAGCTTTGAAAGAGTAGCGTTTAACATGGCAACATTTTCTCAACTAGCAGAAATGAGACTGACAATTGAGGTTTATACTTGTGAGTTAAATGATCATGTTCAGGGGTTCGTAGCAGCAGAAACACAATAGTTTCCTAAGAGTCAAGCTCGAATGGAGTAAAAGAAACTAATTAGTGTTCCACCCGATGTTGAGAAACTTTTTCAAAACATTGATGACAAAGTGTGACCCAATATTTTAATCAAATAGCACATGACAGCCAAGTAAGTTGGAACTAATAAAAGAGATTAAATAATTAATTAATAGTTCTTATCAGTGTTGCTAATAACTGAATAACATCAACCAAATTTGCAACACGATGACTCAAGCAAATAACTTACAATTATGTTACCTAGTCTAAGTGGGTAGATAAAGCCGTGTTCAACAGACTGTTTTAATATATATGTGAGAACACTTCCCAAACCATAGTTTGGGTATATTTATGTCAATAGACGTGAATAACATCAGAATGAAATGTATACTTGGCGTCCATTTATCTTTATATTACTTATTGTAGATATATGTATTTTTCCATGTTGATAATCTTATTCTAATTTGTTCTCTTTTTGCATGTGAAGCACCCGTTCATACAACAGAATGCTCGCCCAGTGATAACTTTGATTCCACTCATTCTATTAGCACGAGAACAAGCTCGTTCTGTTACAGAATCGTAAATCCTTGAGCCTATTAAATTGTGTATATCTATAATCCTGGTTCAACGTTTGTGTATAAAAAAGGTTACAGAATACTTTGCTGTATTTTAAAAAAATACCACTGCTTGTACGTATATATCGTATTTTCAGTTTCAAATAATATGTTCAAGAAATTTTCTCACTTTATGAGTGATATCACTGCTCCTACTATTTTACATTTCGGTTATTGTAAAGATTGACTTCTGTTTTGCATCATACTTTATCATAATGCCAATAATAAACGAGCTGCGCTTCTACTATTTTTTTAGTATTTCATACGCTATATAGCTCGAGTTCCTGGATTTATTTGTTTGATTATACTAAAAGATAATGACGAACACTGGATTTTTATATTGTATATTTGACTGTTGTTACATTACTGCTTTTGTGATCAATCTAAGAAAACAAAAACACTTGTGACCGATTATTGTATTTTTTTAATATGAAAACAAATGTTTTTTTCTTAAATATTACCTTGCACTAACATCACTTATTTAACTGTAAGAGAAAGAATGAATTAAAACAAAAATTGCCTTATAAAGACACATTTATTTAATTCCAATTTACTCAAACTAATTTTATAAGGTGGACTTTTATTCACTAGACTACTATTTAGTTATTCCATTGATTTTTTTGTTATTTTAATTAATGCTTCCCTTTGTGCAATTTCATCTGGAAACTTACATCGATGTGTATGTCTTGTATACAGACAAAAATACATTATTTCAGTTTAGCATAATACAAAAACTGAATGACAGTTGCCAGAAGTAACCATTATATTTATCATTTTATTATTATTCATTCCAAACAGAATAATTATTTCCATGTAATTTAAAAAGATTTCATTGTACAATCGAAATTGATTTTATCCGTTTCTGAATACACGTTACATAAACTACTATTATTATTGTGTCATTAATAGTAACAATTGTATTCTTTTTTTTGCCAATTAAAATTCTCGCTTAGTGACTATCCGTTATAATCACGTTTCATATATGATAGACAATTTGTACAGTTTGATTTTCATTTCTATGAAATCATCAGGATGGGGAAAACAACTCTTAATTTATTGGCTTGTTATTCAAGAAATGCGAACTTTTAAAGATAAGTTTATCAATAATTCCGGAGAATCAAACGTTTTTGTAATATTTACGAGGCGTTTTGAATTAAGTTTATTGTGTTGAATCGTGGTACACGATGACTTTGGACGAGTGCAGACTCCGTTGGTAGTTGTCTAATCTATATAAAAAAGACTCGAATTGCATTTGTTCAAATGCTAAGATTAAGATTAATCATGACACGATCAATGATTTTGACTATCAGTTTGTTTTGCACAAATGTTTAGATATACTTAGGTAAAACCACCAAATTTTTATCCACCGACACCATTTAACTGACCTTGTATACACAGAAACAAAGCTGTGAATTTCCTTAGAAAACAATTTAGAACGGAAACATACACGAAGATATCCGTATTCCAATTTTAATAATTCAGTGCATCGATCAATGAAATATTAATAAATTTATAACTAAGTGGGTGAAAAATAAATCCTCCGACATGCAAACTATTTTCGGAAACTTCCACTCGATAATGTCAGATTATAAATAACTAACAATCATGGTGCCAATTTATGGTATTCTAGATCGGTCCAAATGAACAGCCCTAAAGACTACATTCCTTACACTACTTCAATTTATTCATGTTGTTATTTTAATAACCATATGATCCAAAAAGAAACAATTAATTCTTTCTCGGACTTCAAAAATGATAAACACAAAACAAATAGAAACGAATAATCTTGTTGCAGTTTCTCATAAAACTCCAAATTATTCTAACTTTGAAATTTTTAGAAAGTAGGTTGGGAAACTACCAACCAACTTTATTAATTCTCCAATAATTTGTATAAATTCTTCTTTCAGAGTTACTATAACTAACAAAGTTGTAACTACAAAACATTGTTGTGATGGTCAAACAGCCTAGAAACAATCGAAAACGAGGATTCGGTCATTCATATTGATTGTGGGAAGTGAAATTTAGAATATAGACACCACCGTCAGGTCTACTATCAGTCAGTCAGTCAGTGACAACGTAGAACTTCATACGTGCGTATATCAGTTCGAGTTGCCACACCACATTCGCACAGAGATGCAGTTGTCGATTCAAATCCCACAGTGGTAAAGTTAGTAAAACTATAAACAGTAATCGGAAAGATCAGGGTTTGAAGATGTTATTCAAGCAGCATAATCCAGTGAAATAAATTTGGGAAGAGAAAAAAGAGACAAGGAGGAATCAGGAGATTAGAATTTGGAAGAACACAAAGAGTGTATGCACCTGCGCCATTGCAAACGATTTTGAGCTATGTCATTCAGAGTCTCTAACCATCGGTTGCTATCAACTCGGGGTCCCAAACCAGGTAGCCTACACCTACCGACATGGCCCAGACCACTTGTCAGTGATTTCAAGGATTTGCGCCATGTTTTGGTCTGGCCGACCCTAGCTTTCTTCCAACCTACTCATACACCACAAAACATAGCACGTCGGGGCAGTCGGTGGTTGGACATACGTAACACGTGTCCAAGCCATCTCAACTGATGAAGTTTCACTACTTCATCAATTGATTTGCCATCCTTACCTAGTACCCGTTTCCTAACAACTGCATTACTTACTCGATGGTCCCACGATATACGAGCAATATTTCGAAGACACCTATGATCAAATACTAGTAACCTACGAATATCCTCTACTCTTACCGGCCATGTTTCACTGCCATAAAGTAGGACGGAACGAACTGCTGCGCAGTAAACACGTCCTTTGGTTGATAGACGGATATCTCGCCTACGCCATAAATGACGCAAGTTGGTAAAAGCTAGTCGAGCCTTCTGTATCCGTGCTGAGATTTCGTCACACACCAGACCACAAGGGCTGATGAGACTTCCAAGATAAGTGAAGCGATCGACACGCTCAATTACTTCACTCCCTATCATTAGTTCGGGTGTCAATGCAACCCAATCCTGAAGCAACATTTTGCATTTCGAGGAGGAGAATCGCATCCCGAACATGCTTGCATTGTTGCTTAGAGTGGTCAGAAGACTCTGCATTTTGTCAGTGTCTTCACCAAATAAAACTATGTCATCAGCATATTCTAAGTCAACAAGTGAACCTCCCGGTAGAAGTTCAACCCCTGTAAATTTAGATGAGGAGAGTGTTATCTCTAAAAGTACGTCGACCACAAAGTTGAACAAGAATGGGGAGAGTGGACAGCCCTGACGAACACCACTTGAGGTAATCAATTCTGATGACAGTTCGCCATAAGCTCTCACTCTACCAGTTGTGTTCGAGTAGAGAGCCTTTATAAGGTTAATGTACTTCTTTCAGTGACAAACACTGCCATAGAACCTCACGATCAACAGAGTCGAATGCCGCCTTAAGGTCGAGAAATACTACCATTGTGGGGCGTCTGAATGTGTGTCTGTGTTCTAGAACCTGACGTAGTGTGAATATCTGATCTATACAACCACGTCCAGGTCGAAAACCAGCCTGATTTTCTCTAGTCTGCTCTTCACGAGCTTTAGTTAGGCGTCGAAGTATTATTGAAGCTAATATTTTAGACACTATATTAGTCAAACTGATTCCTCTGTGATTGTCACAAGAGGACTTTTGTCCTTTCTTAAAAACTGGCACAATCAGTGATTGAGACCAGTCAGATGGGATTACGTCCAGTTCCCAAATTCTACCTAAGACCTCAGTTAATCTCACTGCTAATACTGGACCACCATCCTTAAAAATCTCAGGAGTAAACCTGTCAGGGCCTGCTGCTCTCCCTCGCTTCAGATTTCCTATGGCTTTTTCAACTTCGTAAAGAGACGGAGGACCTACATTAACTTGCCATTCAGGTTGACTAGAGATCGTGGGAAACCGAAGTGTGGCTGAAGGCCAGTTGAACTGATCCTCAAAGTGTTCTGCCCATCGATCCAATCTCCTGGATTGAGAGTGAATAATGTGTTCACATTTTTCCGAGATAGTTACACTAACAGTAGGACTCCTAATACCGGTTTACTGAACAAGTCTGAACAGTTGTCTGCTGTTACCTATTACCACTGCTTTTTCCATCTCTCATGCTTTCGCTACCCACCACTGTTCACGATCATTGCGTAGGCTTCTTGTCAGTTTGCGCTTAAGCTGACTCCGCTCTTCGTTATGTTCAGAGCCAGATGGGATGTGGCTAGTACAACCCAAGTCACGTAATTTCCATTGGAGTTAAGAACTGACTCATTCTACTGAGAGAAAAGTACAGTGTAAAGTCTGGAGAACAATGAAATTATATGCAAGTAATCAAAACATTTTTGTAGATTGTTTAAAATTTGTATAAATAGTCTGTGTTCCGACAACTTAATAGTACCGAGGTAGTAGTGATGACATACTGTAATAAAATTCACCACAAGCAAACCTCAGCAATAAAAAAATGCAGTGTATCGCAGTTTTCTATTCCACTTCAACTACGTCACTAGTTAGACAGTGACGCGTGTAGTTCAAAATATCACACCGCCATCTGAATTTTCACTTGAAGTGCAATAACTAGTTTCCCAAGTGCAGTGTAAATGAACGATAACTTTTAGTTAACTAAGGATTATAGCAAAGAAAACGATAAATACATTGTTAATCAAAACTTTTATATTTTTTCATAATCAGTAAAACATGTTTGCTGGCTACCAGCAGCTACAGACACACAGAGATACGAACATATACTGTATTTAAATACCAACCATAAGAGAAATAAAATATAAGATTAGAACAGAAAAATGATTGAAAGACTCTGCAGCATTATTATTACTAATAATAGTAGTAGAAATAATAATTGTTTCATAGGTGAAAATTATCATTCATAAAACGAGAAAAATGCCCTGTAAGACAATATCCAGTGTACTATTAGGGAAAATTTTACATTAAAGGAAACCATTCAAGATAACAGTTTACATACATACTTGAGTTTTTTTTCGTGATTTGATTGGTTAGGTTTATAATAAAAGATAAGAAAATAGTACGTAACAGAGAGCAACAACAAAAATTCATGCCCGAAAACAACCTTGGGGAAAGAAAACTAACGGTGACATCAAAACGCTGATTAACACTTGAATTTTTTTTTCTTTACAACCTAGAATCATCCTCAAGTAGATGATACTAAATTTGTCTGATAGTTAACGAAAATGATAAGATCGACATGATTAATTATTTAATAGTTTTTTAAAAAAAACAAGGACAACACACCTAAAACTTGCGAACTTCAATAACACAATGATTGTAATAAACCACATTGTGTATTGAATAACGAGGTCATGAGAAGTATGTAATTTATAGAATAGTAGCTCTTATTGCTTTACGTTACTGAATGACAAAATATGCAACAAAACTGTCTTTTTTTAACGAACTACAAGAACGAGCATGTATATATTAGAAAAACATGAGAATGAATATTATTCCCCTAACAAAAGGGTGACAAAGTCTAACTAATAGGTGTTAAGGAATGTGAGAAAACAAAGTTGAGCACATAGAGTTTGTTAAATTGAAATTACACAGCATATACTGCTGGGATACATTGAGTTAAGAAAATATATTTTCATACAATATATTCCTTGCAATAAATCATATTACAAGAACAAAATGATGAGAAGTCATAAAAAAGAAGACAGAATATATGTACTAAAGCGAATATGATTGTGTATCAATTTTACGCTAACGATAATTTAAATATATATAACAAACTGATGAACATATAAAACTATCCACGATAGGAATGGGATTGCTGGAAAAATAGAAAACACACACAAGACAAACAAAGGGATTTAGCCAAATTATTATATAAGAAAAATTAAATAAATTTAAAATCATACGAATCCGCTAAGTTCTATAACTGGTTTCACTACGGGTTGACTAGTACAAGCATCTAAAACTACCAAAAACGCTTTAACACACAATAATTACTGTTGTTTATCACTCTTTGACGATATGTTTACAGCCTAACTGATTGATTTTCTCTATTCACACAACCAATTATCGTAAACAGTAGATTAAATTACTGTTAGTTGCCTCAAACTTTCGAAAATCAGTAACTACATTTCAGATTTCGGTCATCTTTCGAGATATGACAGAAACAACTATTAGTAGTACATACGTAACAAACCACAGAAAATAGAATAACAAAAAGACAGAGGAGTAAAGTAAAGTAATATTTCGATAGTCAAATAACAGAGGATTTCAAAAATAAACGAAAGGTATATATTTCAGAGTAATGAGATGTGAAGGAAACACATTTATACCCAGATGTAGCAAATGAGAACGTTTCGAGTTAGCACCATCATATTTTTGGAAATACGTCTTTCGATAGTATAACTCATTTTGATTGTATCCAAACTGCTATATGTTGAAGTGCAGGTAGAAATGACGAAAAGACATTGCTTCTTTTAAAGCTTACGTATGATCCCGAGAATGAACATGATTTTAAAGAAAATATTTTCGGAGTTATACATCAAAAACACAGGTATCAATAGTACGGGATCGAAAAACGTAGGTACAACAAAACATACCACTGCTATTAGAAAATAATTTACATTAAGAGTCGGATGAATTCATGCGTAAGCGATCTAGTACACGACGCCTAACATTGGTAGATAATCGTGGATTGCTATCCAATACACGGGTTAATAACTCCGCTAAAAATTCGGTTGTATACTGAGGTGACGAAGCATCAACTGCCTGAAACGTAGCCGCTAAATTGGAGATCGGATCCGAAGCACCACTAGTGACTTGACTGTAAACATCTTGAAGCTGAAGAAAAAATCACAAAACATTTGGACGTGATAAAAAGAGAATAAGTGTAATACAATGAGGATATATTACGAAATGAAACGTTTGAGTGTACGGTCTAACAAACTTCATATTATTTTGAGATAACTCGATTTTTAACAGTATCGTTTACACAGGTAATCACATAGAAACCTGAAGACAACACAAGTAATAATAAATCAACACTTTTTTATCGAATCAATCAAATCGCTTGTTTCATTGTTTACAAAACGAAAGCCGATTATACATTCACTTGATGGGCTTAGACGGAGAATCCTTGTGATGCGAAATCCGAATAAGTGTCGACAGATTTCACTTTATTTATCTATTTTAACACATGGATATTGGTACAAGGAGGCATCAAGTACATATGCGTCACACAAATCTCGTTTGATATGTGTGAGGGCTGTGATGCTGCACGAGTGCCTAAACCGAAGCAGGTGGTTTACTTAGGGGGCCACACCCTGAGCCTTCGACCTGGAGGTCTGATCCACAAGGCTGTGGAGCATCGTAAGGAGATGCAGTCCCATGGTAGCCGGTGACCAACGACTGGTTTATACTTCATTTGTTCCCACAGGATACTGGAGCCCATGTGCACCATTAGTTTGGAATCCGGTTAGAGCGCCGGACATTCGCTTTTCGTCCTATCTTTTTCGTAAACAACACCCCCGCCACGAGAAGGCAATGAGTAGGACTTCCCTGGCAGAGGCTATATACGCGTAGCCGTGCGAGAGCATTTCGAGAGGGAGAGCGAACTCTCCCCACTCTCGGCCGTACCAAGGCATTCGAGGGCCGACAGAAAATCTAATTTTTATACTCATTGGGATATTACAAGTAAATTAATTTATTTATAACAATCTACCTAATGCTCAATTTATTCGAAATTAGCAAGTCAAAGCCTGGTGATTTCGAATAAATTGAGCATTAGGTAGATCGTTATAAATAAATTAATATACTTGTAATATCCCAATGAGTATAAAAATTAGATTTTCCGACGTTTCGTGAGTCAGTATAAGCCACATCTTCAGAGAATAAAAAACCAAGTCAAAATTAATTATATTTTATATCACGTTTTTATGGTTTACCTAAAATTCATAAGCCAGATATTCCTCTAAGACCCTTAGTAGACTTCACGAACAAACCAACACATGAATTATCGAAATATCTGAGCAGCATATTAAAGCGACTACAACTTAACTTACATAATATAATTAAAGATTCCTATGAATTTAAATTAAAATATTGGAATTAATTATCGAAAAGAATAAAATCATGGTAAGCTATGATGTTGTTTTATTACACTAGTATTCCTACTGATAACTTCTTAGAATTCATTAGTAGTTTACTAGAGAACAGCAATACTTTCTGAAAGATGTCATTTAAGCAATAGTCTAATCATGAAATCCTTAAAACTTTACTTAAATTTGACACTATTTACTTTTAAAGGGACATTATACAAACAAACTAACGGTGTAGCAATGGGATTCCCTGTGTCCCCGATTGTAGCCAAAATGTTTTTGGCACACATAGAATCGAATATTTCCGCCAATGACATTAAACCACAAATTTGGCTTAGATATGTAGATGATACTTTGTTGTGACAAAAAACTCATCTAAGATCTTTTTCGAAACGGATCAATACACTTTCATCGCACATCAAATTTACGAACGAGAATGAAAATGAACATGGTGAGCTGACATTTTTAGATTGCTTAGTGAAAAGAAATCTAAATGGAATTCTAAATCTATCCATCTAACGAAAACCTACACATTCAAATTTTTAAATTGACTTCAACTCAGCACATCCATTCAGTGCAAAGATCTCGCTAGTCCTAAAACTTTTAGAAGAGTTAACAAGATTATCACATTGAAAGCGGATAAACAAAAAGAAGAAAAGAATGTAATCAATATCTTACAATTCAATAATTTTCGTACGAAGATTATTAGAAGTGTATTAGAACAAAATGTTTCACTGATTAATAATAATTCGAATGAAATACCATGGATTGGTACTGCAGTTTTACCATACCGTCACGGTACGACAAAATTCCAAAGAATTTTAAAACAACACAATTAAAGTATATTACAAAACAACGAAAACTTTCGAAATACTTTAGTTCGCTTAAAAGATAAACTCCCATTTATGTCAACACAGAACTGTCTACAAATTGGGATGTATCAATTGTGACGCCTTCTATATTGGAGAGTCATCTCACGAAATCTTCACTCGAGCCAAATAACATATTAGGTTCAAAAGCAACCATCTAACAATCCCGTAGAAGTGGATAGACTTCAAATTAAATGTGTAATAGCAGCTCACGCCATTTTCAACAACCAGCAAATCGATTTCAAAAACATTAAAATATTACAAAAACTTTTTTCGAACTACAAAGAAAGGATAGTAACTGAAGCTTTCTATATAATGCCTAATCCCACTGCTCTCAATAGAAAAGGCTCACTATACATCTGACTATCTAACCTATCTATCATGTCTGATATTATTCACATTTCACACTATTACCTTACATGCAAATTAAACTTCATCCTTTCTCACCAGAAAGATCACTTTTTTCATCCCTAACCTTGCACACATACACAAATTTGCATACATATCGCTTATAAATCACCTTGACCGAAATGACATGACATTGACTTTTCAGGCCTGTTTTTTTAATTGATCGCACATAATATTCTTGCGTTGTTTCTTTATATTATTTAAACTTGGATTAATTTTGATTTCGTTATTCATTATCTGAAGAAGTCACAAAACGTCAGAAAATCTAATTTTTCTACTCATTGGGATATTACAAATACATTACTTTATTTAATTCTTCTGATAGTTTTTGACTGAGGAAAAATGTCAGAGACAGATTAAGTCCCTGTAATGTTATATTTGACCAACACAGTTGTTCGGCAAATAAATGATTCAAACTGGGGAAAACATAGCAACAAAATCATACGTTACACAAAGTTAACACTACAACTTTTCCAGAAAAATGGAAGCCATACGCATAAAAAATGAGTAGTTAGTGCAAAATAATTTATCTTACATCCTGAAGCAAAGGTAAAACGTGCTGATGGAAACAAGATGGTTTATTCAGATTTACAACCAATGGTGGTGATTGACTATGTTGAGGTTTGTTATTAGCTGATGTAGAAATATTCTTTGAGTTGACTAATTTCGAGTGTCCAGGATCACCAACTGTAAAGAAAACGAGGAAAGGGAACGTACAAAAACAAGCGAATGTCTAATTGGAAACAAAATGAAGTTTTCGGAGTGTCTATTTGATATGAATCAAGTCTCATTTCGTACATCATTCTTTTTTCTACCACCCAAAATTACTTGGTACTTATAAAAGCACAAGTGACTTTATGAAATGGAATTTTCGTCTCTACGAAATGATTTTACTACAGTCAGCAAAGGTAGTTGAATCAGACAATTGTTGACACGTCTGACACAATGGTTCAGTTATCACATTAGCTGCATTATACGAGAATATAATTGGAAACTTTATTTTAAAGAATGACAAGTAAAAAGAACATTTTATTAGTATAAATAAATAGTAAATTTCATGACCTCCAACTTCATGACATGATTCTCCCACGGGATATGATGAGATTGAACAAACAGTTATTATACAGCGAAAAGAAACATTGCAAAGCCTCGTGAAAGAGCAGAAGCAGCAGCATTATATTTGTACCATATAAAAAATATGTATCTGTTGTCAGAGATAATTGTGCTTTCAGAAAAATCTTACTAAAAAGTACTGTTTCACACTCGTTATTAAAATTAAAATGTTACAAATTAGAAGTTAAGACAACTTAGAAGTATAAGACATCGTTATCATTCATTTCACTAATTATAACCTTTAATCTATAACCAAACACAACTAACCATAAACTTGGCGAGACTGAGGAATATCGCTAGCCATAATTCTAGTAACAGGTTGAGCATTTTGTGGCCGGATAATCGGAATATTAGTAGGGCCGGAAGATGCATTAAGACCAGTGGTATTCTGATTTGAATTCATTGCTGAACGTGACATTTGGACACGAGAATTTTCATCTGTTGTACATAAACCAATTTGTGAAGGTTGAAACCCCGAATGAAGAGGTCCCCCTATTGCAGGGTTCGCAGGACGTCTAATTAGATAATAATTTGAAAAATGGACAGAAAAGGTTGTGTGATGAGCATTTAACAACTACTTTCAAAATTACTAATTAGTGCCATTTTTGCAGAGAAAAAATATAGCATTTCCAATACAGGTAAAAAGAATGCCAAAGGAAGCAAGATAATGTTTAAAGTTGCAAGAGCGCATTGTACCTACGAAATATACCATTCAGAATAAATAAATACATAAATACCTTACTTAGTTTGAGCATATTTAGTTGAACAAAAATACACTTTCGGCATTTCAGTATACATTAGTAATGTGATAAGACGAGATAAGGAGTGCAAGAAAACCATAGGAATCTTGAATTAGCTTTCGAGATAAAAAGGACATCATGTTTTTTTCTTGATTCATTATGATCTTTACTTAATACTACTTCAGTTTACAATCCAATGTGATAATCGCTTAAAGAAAAAAATGTCCTATTTTTAGCATGGTAATTTGCTCAGCATAACATTGATTTTATTTTCAGTATGAGGTTTACTTACTACAATATACTTTTTATTAAACTAATGTGAACCTTGTTCAGTATGATATGCAATATGTGTCTATGTAATAATTCTGTGCACCTTTCATATATATGACATTTGCTAATTAATTATCAAATGGATATACAAGATAAATAAGTGTATTTTTTGGTTAAGTGACGTGGATTTTGAAAGGTCAGTGAGCCTTTGTTTGTATCAAACTTTTGTGTTCTCATTTCCAGTCGTGAGAATTGTCGTGGTTTCCAATTTCAAATAATTACCAATAAAACACAACTAAATTGGATAGATAAATGAATTGAATATCAAAAATGTGTAATCCTGAATAGAAGTTATCATTTGTCGAATTAAACGATAATCATAGTGCAACCGGTACTAACTGAAGTTGAAAAAATGTCCAGTATGAACAATGTAACGGAAAATAAATTGGACAGAAGATGAACAGACATGAAATACACTAAAAAATTATATAACTAAATAACACAACTAATGACCACAGAGAAACTCAAAAAAAGGAAACACTACAGAGAGTCCAACTAAAAAACAAAGCGACTGGATTATTTCTGCCTGCAACGAAATATGCCCATAAACAACTAAAAAAATATTGATATCGAAATTGTGATCAACTAGTAGGTTTTAAATGATTTGTTTACGAGTCATGATTACATTTCATAAAAGCAAACACTAGATTAACGATAAGCTACATTTGAAAGTAATCGCTGTAGATGGTAAATTATGAAATGCATACAGTATAGAACCTGGCATATGTGTACATCAGTCCAAGTTGTCACACCTCACCGGTACAGCGAGATGAAATGTTTACAATGAATTCCAGTGGGAGAGATATTAACAATATTGGTGGCAATAGAAAAGGTTAGGAAAAGATATGATTTCAGACGCATAAGTTAGAGAAAAAATTCATTACGAAGTAACTTATGAACTTACGTCTAAGAGTGAATGCAACTGTCTCATTCCATACAGTTCTGAGCCGTGTCACTGGTTAAAATAAACGAGCAGACCACAACCAGACAATATGGAACTACTTACACGGTTCAGTTCAAAAGTCGTAACTTTTTATGCACCGATACCATGTGTTTAGTCTGGCCAACCCTAACTTCCTTCCAACCTACTCCTAGACTAGCCATCATTGTGCATCAAGACAGACTTACACACTACGTAGCGAACTCGAAGTCTGTTTTGTTGATCAATAATACCACCAGCACATTCACTGAGTCAGTTCACCGTTTAGTGTACGGATTTGCAGTTACTAAATTGAATGATTTACAGAACCCTGTTTATTTAGTATAAATACTTTTGTTGATCTTATACAACGTTAAAATTCAAAGCTACACATCGAGAATAATAACGAAAACGATACAGTGAAACAAATTTATTTCAACCAGGAGATCTTCGTACAACCTAGAGCGAACAGGAAACAACGGGAACCTAACCATAGAACAATCCACACAAAAGTAACATTGAAAGACAAACAGTATACATTATCTCAAAAAAAAACATTAATATCAGTGACTTTCTGGATTTATCAGCGATTACCGTATGGGTATCATTAGAAAAGTACATACATTTTACAAACTGAAGCAATGGGTGAAGAACAGTATGAGACTTTCATTATATAATCATTTCCGTGTACAATATTGGAAAGTGATTGTATAAAAGTCGCGTTTCTATGATTAAATATGAACGGCTGTGAAAACATTTCAATAAATTGTCTATTGAAGCTTTCAATCACCATTCAACTAGTGAATAAAAGACATTTTAAACGGTTACAAGTATAGGGATAAACGTACAACATTTAGACTTATTTTCTACTTTTATTAGGAACTATCTTCGCAATACCCCAATAAATGTAATGAAAAGTTAGGCAGTAATGAATGGAAAGACCAACCCAATAATTACAATGTTTAAATTTTAGTGACTACTTACGATTCATATCCATCAGAGAGACGTCGTTCGGCTTCAAGTGCAGGACCACCAGATGTTCGCTTGATAACAGACTGGGCATCTGAACTGGATGGTGACGATGAAGAAGAATGGTGGGTAGTAGAAACATCGGGAGAAGAGTAAGCTGAACCTGGATTATGAGAAACCTGTGCAGACTGTGATGGCATAGCACGAACTGTTTCAAAATTCCACTTGAATGTATCAGACGCTTTTCCCGGTCTCATACCATCAAAATGTTTCTTCTTTTGACCGGGTTTTTCAGCACCAACAGGAGCTCCAGGAGTATTTGGATGAGCATTTACAAGATCTTCCTCGTCTGGAACACTAAGAAAATCCAAATAGCAACAACCAGTCTTAATGTACGTGGAAGCCAATACAATAACGACAAAGTAAAAAATGAACATAACTGTAATTCATTACGTTCTATCTTTCCATATATCATGATATTGTGTTGAGAAGTGTTTTAAAAACAACGTAAACTTTACAATTAATGAAGTTAGACCAACTGATGAGCATTTATTGTCTCACCGAGTTGATGTCTATAACGTCGTTAACCAAAATCATGAAGCATCCATGGTCGGATATCCAAGGCTATAAAATATAATACAATTGTAGGTTAGACGATTATATTACCGTTTCATGTACTAGTTCTCAGTAAATTTTAAATTCTTTAGCCTACACTTTTACAACTCTTCGATTACAAAATTTAGTTTTTAATCAAAATTTTCACTGATTTGAACTTTTAGCATCTAATAATAGACAATAATGTCATTTGGGACATCAGCTTAAGCACTTATCTAAAAAAAATAAGACTTCAAATATAGTTAGTGTTCCATTTGGATTCAGTTCTAACGATAATTTTCAAGTCATATACGATTTTCAACAAGTTTATTAAAAGAACCTGTACTTATAATGTGCAAGCTATCAATATATTTCTTCCAATATTAAAACATAATTGGAAGGATAAGATCAACAAGTACTTTACCTAATGCCAACTCGTGGAATCTGTATAAGGACGAACAACGTGCAGAAAAAAAGAGAACAAAACCTTTTTCAAGGTTTTGGTGCAACTGGGTCACTAGGAGCCATTTTGAGGCATATCGCTTGAGGCCTCTAACCAGTAATTTCGGTTATAATATGAAACTTCCAAGATAAGTAGAGTTATTAAGGCCCTCAAATACTCCACTCCTTACTAACAGACTAGTATTGAAGTAAAATCTTGTATTTAGAAAAAGAGAAACAAACTTTAGACATCCTTATATTGTCACTTTAAAAAACATTCAGGACATAATTTTGTCAGCGTCTTCAGTAAGTAGATCTACCCTTTAATAATAATAATAATAATAATAATAATAATAATAATAATAATAATAATAATACTATGAAACTCCAGAAGTATTATTATTATTTATAAAAATGTTAAACGAATAATTTCATAACTGAAAACTTAATGTAAGAAACAATCAATTTTTAGAAATAAAACATTTTAGGTTAGAAACCATGAACAGTTAATGAAATGTGATTACAAACAAGATAGGAGAGTACAATTCGTTACTACGTAAACGTTGTGATTTCACAACATTTCTATTTAGTCGTGAGTAAAACAAATAGTTACTAAACATTCACTTGGATTTCAATGTTAAATGCTGAAAATTTTTGGAGGTTTATAAACAAAAAGTAACTAAATTGTAATAATACAACGCAATTATTTGAACAAAAAGATCGAATTACGTAAGTACAGACATATATGCTACGAACAAAAAATGTTTATGTGCAGCATATGTGCTAGTCTTTTTTTCAGTGAATTACACTATAAAAATAGTATAAAGAAAAGAATCAAACAATAAACACAGATCTTGGACAAATCAGTATCAAAAAAGGAATGTGAATGTGCGTACGTGCACAAAAAGACAATTCAATATTATTTTTCATATAGCAAAAAACCTCTTTTCATGTCTGTGTAAATTGTGTAAGGTATGCAATACTCCATTTGTTTCATTGGCAACTATCGATTTGACCAAAAACTAAGAAACTTTACACGTCTAATGCCGGAAACCAAACAATCACATCACTATACAATTTAATACCACACAACACTATGTATGGGGGGGGTTGAAATTCATTAACCTAAGCTAGCTAACAATCTGAATCGTGTAGTTGTCTAATCATGGCTTAAAAAACAGAAATTGAATGATTCGATCAAAGAAACTATGACCTTTTACGTCTGATTAAATTAACAACCCAACGTAAAGTAACGGGACATTCCTAATACGTAATCTCCAAATATTTAAGTGACAATCGAATAATGCAGGACAAATATTGAGCCTCCTAAGAATAAACGCAAATTCCATAACCAAAGTTACCGCATCTTTACCTGTGGTATTAGGTGGAATGATGAACTGTGCCAACGTAAAAGTGTGGAATCAAATTGACAGGCTGATTAAAGAATTTCAGCTATGTAGGCATATTTAATGTGTATTCAATATGAGGTTGATACCTCACAAAGAGATTCGCATTTTGATACACATCTTTATGTGAGAATCCTACAGTTGATTATATATATATATTTAACTTTAGGATTCTCACGTCTATACTGATGAATAACGGGATTCCACAGTATGATGTTTTGTTAGGAGATGATCAATAGATTCAAATTAAAAACACAATTGTATGAACGAAGAATATTCTTTTCAATAATTTCTCATCAGGTTATATCGGCAGATGTTCTAGGAATTTGTACATTCGGGCTCGTGAGCACCTACCCGTGTGGTTAAGCAAAGGTGTTGTCAAAACTGTTAACAGCTCCATCTTAGACCATTTAGTCCAAACAGGACATACAGCCAACATGGAGCAATCTTTTGCAATAATCTATCGTGTCAACAGCAGTCTACCTAATTCCGTCAGACTGCGAATCCTACAGACGGCTGAAGCAATTGCTATTCGGATCAAAAAGCCAGAGCTTTGTATCCAAAAGAAGTATGTTCAGCCTCTCCTTTTACCCTGGCCAACTAGCTAATAATCAATCTTATAATGTGGTGACATAATCTGATTAATGTTCATTTTATGTCCCAAACTTATTATTATTATTATTATTACTATTATTATTATTATTGTTATTATTATTATTACTATTATTGTCTTTACACTTGATAAACCCTTTTTGAGGAATTTATTTAATATGCACCCCTGAACCTACTATATTTGACCTGATTATTTTACATATTACGCAATTTCCGATTTGTAATCACAATATTCTCTCGCTCGCTCGCTCTCTCTTACCCCATGTTGACCATATTTATTCTGATAATTTATCTCACAATTTCATTTTGCTTATAAACCGTTTCAAGTTAACACTTCATATTAGTCAGCCCCAACATTAACGATTTTATTTTTATATAACAAACAATTCCTGATTCACATATTACCATTTCCAAATGATGATGTATTTTGCCTTAAATCTGGCCAATTTTATGGATTATTAATCTGGATTTATAATTGTAGAACCTGATGAGAAATTATTGAAAAGAATATTCTTCGTTCATACAATTGTGTTTTTAATATAATGGGAATTTTTCATCAATTAAAATCTTGAGATTCAAATTACTCGGTATTTTCAGTTGATATTACTGAACGAAATAAATGTAACTAAATAATTGACAATTCATCCTATACAGAATTTAAAGACCGCAGAGAAACTGCTCTAAATACCTAACATTTCACTGAATCGCAACAACATTGTACCATAATTCTGAAACTAAATTCAAATATTTTAAAACGAGTATATCTATTCTACGAGTAAGACCTCTTGTTAAAGACGAAAACTTTTAAACTATGGTAAGTTCAATATTGTATGAAAGAATGTGAGCAAGGGATTTCTATCAAATTACACCTAAACAGATCTATTCTGATTATCTATGTAGAAAGATGAATTTTAAGCAAAACCCATACGACAAGAGCTTCTCATGAAGTTTCCCTTGATGATTTAAGCAAGTGTTATAGGTAAATACTACTAATTGAGTTCTGAAATAGATTATTTCATTTACCGTTTATATGTATAAATATACCGTGACCTTTCACATTTCTATATATATCCCACTACTTCGTTCAACCAAAGATTTAGAACAAAACTCTTAGGTTCATAAATGACGACTTTGCCACCGCTTGGTTGTCAAAAATATCTACTCTCACTTTACTGTGGAGTAATAAAGAACGTCACATAAAATCTCACCTAATATTACACAAGGTGGGATCAACAGGAAGATAGAACAATGTTTAGAATACAACAATGAAAGTTTACGGAAAGTAAATGAGTTAGGATAAGTAGAAAATAAGACAATATGTACTTGAGGTGGGATATGTCAACTAACTTTTTGAGTCTCGTAATCAGACAAATAAAATCACTCAATGAGAAGCAACAATTACGTCACAACCCACGTAACATTTGCTTTTAAATATTAAGAGGAACGCCACTGGTTGAGTGTTTTTTTTACAAAACTACGTCTTCATATTATCTACTTACCTTCAACTGTAAGTAAAGATAACTCTGGCTAGAGCCCCTTTAAGGTTACCACCCGGATAAAGGAGGGTTGGGTATAGGTTAGCAACACCATCCCATAGAAAAAACGCTAACTATAAAAGTCATTTAAACCATTTAAACTTTGTCCTAAGAGTTTAAGGATCTTCCTTCAGAAGAGTGATAACGCTTCATGGTGAAAGCCGAGACTCTTCGAAAGTCACGAGGATAATATCACTCCTAACAACCAAAGCAACAACGATTAACATAGATATATAGGATGTCCGCACAATGTGGGAGAGTGGACATTCCATTCTGATAGCTGTGGAAATGAGGAGGTACAAAATGCAGATGCTCGAAATAAGTGGAACCTATTGGACCCAAGCTGAACAGAATAAAAAAGCTTCGGGAGAGATGCTGCTCTCGAATGCCGTTGGTTGGACACTATCAGCAACAACCTACTGAGGGAGAGAAAACAAACCAGCTTCCATCTGAAGAGGAAATAAGGAAAATAAACTGGAATTGGATAGGACATATATTGAAGAAATCATCAAACTGAATCATGAGGCAAGGACTAATTTGGAATCCTAAGAGTAAAATGAAAAGAGGGAGACCATAGAACAGATTGAGTTGGGAATTAGAGGCAGATATCAAAACAATAATATTTGGAAACAACTGGAAAAGAGAGCCCAAAATAGAGTTGGTTGGAGAATTTTGACCAGCGGCTTGTGTTCTACTAGGAGTAACAGGGATTGGATAAAGGTAAAGATACTTCTTTAGAAATTTTTTGACTATAGACTTCAGTAAACACCTAGAACCCTAAGTAGAAAAATTTAACCAAGAGACAACCAACTAAGAAAATGATATTCCTTAGTATAAGATCAAAATTGGTATTGTAATGGAGTATTTATAAAAATACATCAACATATGCTATGTTTTATCATGCAGGAATGGTACAAACTCCGATAACAATATGATATCACGGTTCACAATAAAAGCGATTGGGATGACTAGCCAAAATCAAAAGAAAACATATCAAACATTAGATTTCAGATAGTTGCTACAGGCTCAACTGTTTGAAGCTTAAAGAACCAAACGAAATGAGTTGTTTCATTCTAAAACACATATCTACTTGTCCGATAGTTAAATATACTTCGGCAAAATGATTGACAGTAAACTACAGTTTGGACTTTGACTAGACTTTTTTCTCGTAAATCAATGAATGAATTGTCAGTCATTCACACCAAATCTTACAAACAAAACTAGTATATATTTAGTTTTTACTATTTAGAATTTTTGGTGTTAATTTATCGCAAACATGTACTTGGTCAAGTGGTATGTTACTTAGATTTCTGATAGTATTAAGATGAGATTTTCTAAATTTTGGTCCAAGTAATTGTAGTGTTGAACTCATCTAAAATATTGCATATCCGAAGGTATGACTACCTTCCAGGAATAAAGAAAATTATAGTCCCGGAAGCGTTACCAGAGTGGATCTACATAAAACCCGAGAAGTGACAATAACTTTAACAGTCTGATATTCAAAACTATTCATAAAAGCAAAAGTACCGTATAATATTATACACATCGTATCATCATGAATAAGCATTGTATGAAATAAACAGTCAACTCTTATTCACTGCAATATAGAATTATATCAGCGAAATATATGTTAATGTTTGCAGATAGATAACACAAATTATCCTTAGATCAACATGTAGACTATAAATTAGTCGAATATCTTCAATTTGCTTTGATGTTTTACATGACGAGCTTTAAGGAGAAATTAGCGCTTCCATAACGCGAAAGACATAATCAACTTTCATAATAAGAATGACCATAACTAATGACAACTAATCCACTAAGTATAATGTTCTGACTCTCAATACTCATTCCATTTTAAAAATCGAGGGACCAAGTGAAGCAGGCCTGAAGATTAATAACAATCAATTACTTCTTCACACTTAACAGTAACTGAGAAACGAAATCTCTCTTGACTTTGTTTGTATTACGAGTTTTTAAAGTTGTTTCGTCATCATATGATTTCTCTTTTCTACAAAATACCATTTCTTTTATAATGGAGAACTACTGTGTTTTGTTGTGATGAAATCTATAAATAGATAGTCAGCAGTGTTACATATATGCTTATATGGTTTTTATTAACTGATTTTCCCATTAACAACACTTTAATTGGCACACTGACGATAATTTAACTACAAACTTTTGTTACGTGAAAGAGACGAAGCAGCTTTGATTTGTACTTTTACGTTCTGTGTAGAAAAATAGTGAACTCATAACAATAAATCAGCTTTATCACACTTCAAAACCTTTCGTCCTACATCCCTGGTCATACCAGGTACAATACGAAATGAGAAATATAATGATTTATTGATACGCTGAAGGTTATTGGTTAGGAGACAGATTTTCAACAATAAAACTACCAATTCTGAATGTTGAATTTATAAACTGTTCAATTAACATTAATATGGTCACACAGATTACATACACAGATAGGAAGGGCTTATTTCTTAAAACTTAATTAGTGCTTTTCTCTTTTGCAGTCAAAATCAAAACTGACCTTAAAAGTCATTCTTTTGGCTTTCTAACAGCCAATGACTACTTAGGCTTAATAACACGTAAAATGAATTATGAAGACAGTAGTTTACAATTCCATTACGTGATACATATAACTTCCAAGAGCTAAACAATTCAAAACATATAAGGCATCAATATTTTCTCAGTAAAACTCCATAACGACCCAACGTTGTTTATGATTGCATGGAACCAAGAATTAAAATGTATGAGTTGTGGTCTATGGATGAAATATAATTAAAATTTCAGGATTTGGAAACAATTTACACATCAGCTTAAGCATATGTAATGACTAACGTTAAACAATGAATTATTTTAACTGAAAGGCCAGGACAATAGGAAGATATGAGATGAGATGTTGAAGCAAATAATGGTGAAAAAAAAACATTTAAAAGCTAAGAGATTTTCAGTCAGTCAATACATACCTCTTACCATTATTTAGAAAATGTCCCGATTCTGTATGATAAAGTAAATATGTTGAACACGAAAACAGAAGTTATGTATGTTTGAACTTACAGTCCATCGTCGTCAGATTCACCATCTGCATCATCATCTCCACCTTCATCACGCCATTTTCGATAGCGCTCAATTAGCTCTTGCAGAAAAGCTGTTTTACGAGCCTTTTTAATAAAACTGTGACGTAGCAATTCATGTGCAGTTGGTCTCTGGAAAGAGATGAATTTGACGGACGTAAAAGCAATTAATGTACATAGAATATAAAACAGACTAAACTATTTACAGTAACGCATGAATAAGTTGTTTAAGTAACCCTAGATAGATAACAATCAAAAAGTATCAGAAAAGGAATTTATACAAATACATACGATATAATTAATTCTGCAGCAAGTATCCAAAATAAGAGATCACAGCCACAATACTACCAATGAGTAAAAGTACTTACAGTAAAGCAAATTAGGAAATAAAAAACAGTACAAAAGCAGGAGGCTGTTAATAAGGTACACAGGAACTTGACCACTTATTAACTTATCGTTACAATGCGATCGCATTCCAATACGTTTTCTAGCATACATCATTTCATTGAGTATTTTGAATGACTGATTTCATTCTCACCTATGTGGTGGGTCACTTGTTTCACAACTTGTGGTATCGCTTCACATCACTGAGATTGTTACTCCAGTCTACATCCTTAACTTCTGATTAACATATCATGATTCGAAATTGTGAAAATCTAGTGAAACTCGAACAATTGTTTAATATATATATATATATATATATATATATATATATATATACTTGGTTGATGGGTTACAAAATTATTTTTACTTAAACCTGCAAAATCATAACTTGGTAGAGATAAACAGGTTACATAACCTTGTGTAATGAAAAACAAGCGAATGGTGGGTATTAAATCAGAAGAAAGTCTAAAAAACTGTAATTGCATAGCATTAATAAACAGAAAATTAACAGATAATCAAAACAGAATTAGAATTTCACTAGCTCTAGAAATAGTGACCATCGTACCACATATAAATTTACATACGAAGAAAGATTGAAAAAATTTGAAATTATTCAGCAATGTGGAAGCATAAATGTTCTGAAAAAATTGAAGACTACTAATATGGAGTTGTAGACAAACAACCTAGACAGTGGATGGAGTATGAATATGTTAGCGGGACATAGACTAGATTAAAGCATGCTCAATGCATGATTGCTTTGGTGCACGCTGATTGGCTAATTCTTATCCAATCAGCACTAGCCGATAGTTGGAGAACACTCTGGAATCTTCTTATGTAAAAACTATAAATATACTGACGTTTTCCCTATTGTGCTTCTGACTTGCTATTTGGAATATAATCTCTTTCCTGTTCAACCGTGTTCTGATTTGGGGACTTGTCGAGTGAATCGGTGTCCGAGAATACTAAGCAATAGGAATAGCTGGGTCATAACCGTAAGAAGAAGAGATTATAACAGTGGCGACGGGGAAAAACTAAAGAAAAATGGCGATTTCTTTAGAACAGTTGCGGTTAATATTACAGCACCAGCAGAAGTTGTTAGCCTTGCAACAACAACTATTGAGCACACTTTTCACTCGACCAGAAAATAAGAAATCTGTTTATGATGCAGTAACAGACATTTCAGAAGCATATCCAGTGGAGGGTTCAAATCCCTTTATACCTGAATCAGAACGTAATATTTGTAACGTGTCCGGCTCACAGCAAGAAAATACTGTGCTGAATGCTCATAAAGTTGTGGCAATACGAGATGATCAAGAGCCAGACCCTGTAGATGAAGCCCGGAGTCCAGAATTGAATGAAACACTACTGGTCCTGTCTAGCTCTGAAAATAAATTTCAGCTAGAACAAAATTATGGTCCACGTGATATTAGCCGAAAAAGCTATGGGGACTCATATTCAGAAAATAACTGCAGTGACACGATGAACCCAATTATACCGAATGTTACTCAAAATCATTGTGAGACAGAAATTTATACTGAATCAGCTTATCCGATTTCTAATGACAATGTATCAGATATGGGTTCTCAGAATAATGCATGTAATTTTGATGAAATTTCTCATAAAAATGAGGAAAATATGTCGGCTGAGTCAAATTATGGTCAAAGTCTAAATTAATTTTGTTAGATGTTGATTTCCGTAATGATCCATTATCCACTGATGAAATTTCTAATGGATTTGAAAGTAATGCTTCAGAAGAATTAAACTCTGACCTCAAATCAAAGGTCGTTCATTATCATCTAGTCATTTCTAGTGGATCCGACATTCAATGCAAGAAACATCGTTTAAATAAAGTCCTATTATTTGTAACTTGGAGATATAAGGATCCGACATTGTTTCGCGGAGGAGGAGAATGTTGGAGAATTAAAAGTTATGCATACTTTTATTTTTAAAAAAATCAAAACGCCGGGAACAGACATGTCAGTATCTGTGCAAGAAAAAAAGTGATAATTCTTTATTGCCTAGACGATGAACTAATCGAAAGCACAAGCCAGTCACTCAGTTGCAGTTGGACCCTAGCACCAGATCCTACGAATCTGCTCAAAGGGGAGGTGTTAGCGGGACATAGACTAGATTAAAGCATGCTCAATGCATGATTGCTTTGGTGCACGCTGATTGGCTAATTCTTATCCAATCAGCACTAGCCGATAGTTGGAGAACACTCTGGAATCTTCTTATGTAAAAACTATAAATATACTGACGTTTTCCCTATTGTGCTTCTGACTTGCTATTTGGAATATAATCTCTTTCCTGTTCAACCGTGTTCTGATTTGGGGACTTGTCGAGTGAATCGGTGTCCGAGAATACTAAGCAATAGGAATAGCTGGGTCATAACCGTAAGAAGAACAGAGAGATTATAACAGAATACAAAAAACGAAGTAACATGAATAAAGTGAATCTATGAACATAATGTACGTTTGACTACTTCCTTGCATGTGTTAAGTAATACATACAGAGAGCGCGTAAATTATAAGTAATATAACCACCAAATGGTTTTCATACTATTTATATAATAACTAAAGGAAATGAATACAACCAGATAAATAACATTTTACATATTGGCTTTAAATAATTATTTCAACATCCGTTGGTGAGCTAACAAAGTGTCATTATATTGATAGATGATCAATATCATTGTGAAAATCAATTCAACATGAAGAACGGAATTGCGAGCACAAGTCAAACTGCTCAGTGAACCCTTCTGATGTACGTGATTTATTTCATTTATTTTATTTGAACACATGGATATTGATACAAGGAGGCACCAAATACATATGCGCCACACAAATCAAATGTGATTTGTGTGAGGGCTGTGATGCTGCCCGGGTGCCCAAACCGAAACAGGTGATTTGTGTGAGGGGGGTACGCCTGGAGCCTTCGGCACAAAGGTCTGATACACAAGACAGTGGAACATCGTAAGGAGATGCAGTCCCATGGTAGCCGGTGACCAATGATTGGTTCATACGCCATTTGTTCACTCAGGATACTGAAGCCCATGTGCACCATTGGTTTGAAATCAGGGTTTTCCAACTCCCCTAGGTGAACTTTCTGTGTCCACCGACCCGGTTAAAGCGCCGGACATTCGCTTTTCGTCCTCTCAATTTCGTAAACAACCCCCCACCACGAGAAGGTAGTGAGTAGGACTTCCCTGGCAGAGGCTATATACGCGTGGCGATGTGAGAGCATTTCGAGAGGGAGAGCGAACTCTCCCCACTCTCGGCCCTACCAGGGCATTTGTGGGCCCTAAAGCGTTTTGAATATTTGGCAATTTATCAACCGAAAGATAAATATATACGTATTTGTCCAAAAAATTGAGGGTTTACTTTAAAATGTTGATTTACAGTTCAAGCCAATCGCATATATATGATCAGACGTTGAATTGTAAACCATAGTTCAATCAAAGCATGTAAAGAGGTCACCCTAATAATTATAATCGAAAATTAATATTATCCTTGCCCAATAGTACAAAATTACTTAAATCTAACAATAATTGGTTGTAAACATACTAAGAGATATATTTGTACGATTGCATGGATTAGATTACCATACCACAATATGAGCAAACAAGCAACCGTTTCGTGGTTTCAAGTTACTATCTATCCATAAAGAGTACAAAGTTGTAGTGATCCTGTTTATTACATTTAACAGCATTAGACAGGAATCATAAAAGACTAAAACATTGACGTAACTCAACAGACAAATACAGCGTACATTCATTAGGTTTAATGTCACGGCAAAAATAATTATGAAAACACAAAAATTAATAAACACGAAAAACACCCATTAAATAACACAAGAACAAAATCAGTAGACTAAACTCAAACGGCACATTGATTTGGGCAGATAGTGATGATAATCGTTTCAAGAACCCACAAAAAATTCTGTAGACAGTTATTAAGCTTTCTATTGAGGTAGGCAGACATTGAAAATAGACAGAATTTGCATAAACAATTATCACTGGATGGCTGTTCAATGCAATGATGATGATAAAAAGTGAAGATGTGAAATTTAGCTAATTTACTGAGTCGCCGTTCATTCAAAATTAGAATCTAGACCATACAGAAGGATCAAATTTGAAAACCAACATAGTCTACTCATTTTCAGTATAGACTGCAAGAATAACCAGAGTCCCAACAAAATGAGATCTGTTTGAAAATCATATGAATGTATTACAGCACGAAAAACAAGGGAACAAAAAAACGAATTCGTACTACATTCAGAAAACTGATATAACGAAAAATAATACTTAGGAATTTTACAATAACCAGAAAGATACCAATATCGAACAAAATAACTACTTTAATAACATAATCCAACAAACAACTAAAGACTTACATTTTCTGGAACTTTAGTCAAGCAGCAATCTACAAAATCTTTGAATACCTTACTAAAATCGCCAGTCAACTGAGGAGAAGGGTTCTTTGGGATAAGCATGAGAACACGTATTGGATGTAGGTCAGCATTAGGTGGTTCGCCTTTAGCTAATTCAATGGCTGTAATTCCTGTAGACCATATATCTACCTAGAAAATCCAAAGGACAATTTACAGTTTGTTATTAAATAAAACGTCGAGATCAATAAACAACCCAGTAATTTTTAAGTCAAATTTATTAAGCAGAAAATACAGAAAAAATAGGTAAGTAGCGAAGATCATTTCAACAGTGACTCCTTAACGGATCCAAAACAGACCAAATGAGTAGCAAGTGTTAAAAGGTCTGAAGGCTCTAGGTTAAATTTATGCTACATCTTATCTAGGTCGTAGTCAACAAAGTAATGCTTATAATAGAGCGGGGGCTTGGCAGTAAATGCGTTGAACTTCCGGTTACTAAGTTCCACGTTTGAAACCCGCTCCACCTACTTCGGTTTGAGAAGCCGGATAATATCACCAGCCCTCATACCTAAGTACCCAGTGAACGGATTTATTTGTTTAGTTAATTATTCGTATGCGAAGAAAATGGGCAAGCAGCAGCGTCTGTCCCCAGTATTGGGGATGGTTGGAAGAAAGTTAGGGGCGGCCGGACCAAAACGTGGCATCAGTGCTTGAATTCACTAACTTCCAGTGTTAGACATGTTAGTAGATGCAGACTACGTGGTTGGGGTCCACGTGACCATAGTAACCAATGGATGGATATCCCTACATAAAATCTTTCTTTTATATATTATCACCATTGAGTTAACGGCTTCTATGAATCCGATGTTCGTCTTGCTGTGCTAATGGGGTATGGCAACTTGGACCAATGCATATATGTGCTTGATCCTACGTTGTGGTTGACTGTCTGTCCCATTCTTCTGAATTCCTACATTCCAATTTCATTTCACAAAGCATGATCTAATACAAATGTTGTCTAATGAAACCAATAAAGCGAAAATATCAGGAGCACGAAGTGAGCAAAAGTGATATCAATTCCAGAATGCTAAACAGATGAGCATAAAGAATATGGTTAGACAAAAAGGGTTGAAATAAAGGAACAGAAGCATCAAGGATTCTTAAAATTACAAATTTAGATAATAATGATAATAATAATAATAATAATAATAATAATAATAATAATAGAAATTACTATGACTCATCAATAGAGGTCATTAAACAATGTTAATGGTTGTCATATAGAGCCTGCACTTCACAAGCCGGCTAAGAACAGTCGACAATGACCCTTTGGACGTTATTTGGTCGTCTATTAAATCCACTGTACATCTGGGTAGCTAAAACTGAGCGTAACACATTTAAAATACCTCAGCGGACTCAGCATTCTTAAATAATGCCTAATATCAGCATTGAGAGACACATGAGATAATATCGACTGAATTCAGTTTAGAAGGGCCTCTTTTTAGACCAAGATTCCCAAAATCGAGAGATGTTGTTCAGAGTCTAAATAATCTAAGGTCGGAACGATCTGGTTATCCAACCAGAGCAAAGTTCAATAGTGTTCGCTCATGCGACATTATTATCGAATTTGACAAAATTCGAACACTGGAATCCTTTACATCTAGTTTAGTGTTATTTCGAAAGACCAGGGACAACATTATGTAAACCAGGAAGATAAAGCACAGTAAGTGTATGAAAACAGAAGGAAATTTAGTAAACAAGGGGGGTTGATAGAAAACAAGATGAATCCGAGTCCTGTTAGATAAATGTGGGGAACGGATGTTTCTTGTTAGTTCATACATTGATAAGTTGCGAATTCCTATATATCCAGAACGTGAACCAAGACTGATAACTTTCTGCATTCGGAAACATGACCAGGGACCAAAGGTGAATTGCTTGAGGCCAGTTACATGAAACTTTTAGTGAATTCTTTTGGTTGAATTAGCCCCACATTAATAACTTATCGGAGGCAAAGAGAATCCGCTACCCAAGCATGTGCTGGTTTTATGACTGAACATTTCTAACATCGGACTATTTATTTAGACACATAAACATTGGTACAAGGAGACACTAAGTATATGTGTGCCACATAAATCATTTGATTTGTGTGAGGACTGGGATATTGCCCGAGTGCCCAAACCGAAGCAGGTCTATAGATGCTGATCATCCATAGGACACATCTTGCTCCGGTCACACTGGCATTCAGCAGAACAATTTTACTGTAGATTATTTATTTTATTTATTTATTTGAACACAAATACTGGTATAAGGGGGCACCAGATACATACACCATAAAATAATAATGAGATTAGGGAGAGATAATGAATGTAAGGTGCGTGTAAAAAAAAAAATTACGACCACAAATTAGTGTATGGTAGTAAAATAATAATAATGGGGGAAACAGAAAGATGCAACCAGAAAGAATCCTTTCAGTTAAAGAAGTTACGGTCACCTTTCATAAAGATAGTATAAAAGGTTACAACAGGATCGCCACTGGCTTCTATTCTGAGCCATAACTGATAACGTCTCTAGCCACTATGTTGCACCATCTCTAGGACCCCAACCAGGGAGTCGTGAAGGACCAACAGAAGCCAGTCCTGTGCATTTTTCTCTCATACCACGACACTTTACTGTAGAACTGATGATCCACTAATTTTAGTTTTACTGCACTCCAACACTTGACTGCAATGTTAGAACCTTAGTAAGGATTCCGGTCAACATAACTCAATTATGTCGTCGCAAAAGGTACAATAGATCATTATGTTATTGTAGTATGGTCGCAGATTAGAAAGACAGTCTCATCCTGACTATTCTGAGACTGATAGTTAAGAATTTAGTCCTTAGTATGTATAATACTATTCAAGTAAGACGCCATTTGGACGTAGTCCTCTGAGTGACTTAAGTAGCAATGTAACAATCTAGTGGGTGCATCGATACGACTTCAACCACCCAAAGGTAAAATGTTACTTAAGGATCAATCCACTCCAGTATCACAGAAAATGAAGTAGCAATGAGGGCTGACCATGTGACAATCTGAATACTAGTAGTCCTAAGTTAATAAGTGACACATGATCACAGATGTGAAAACTTTGTCTGACTTGGATAACCAACAATATCCATGGCTCAGCCTCAAACTTCATTTGCTTGTCAAGGGGCGAGTATACTATGCAAAATTTCGTTTTATATTACTCTGACTATAAAACTTGATTTCTTAGAGTAAATAAATACACCCGTTGCTAGCATTTGATTACAGGTATACTTGAACCTTTCCTTATAAATGATGAAACCATAGATTTAGCAATCCAGAGATCAAGAAGTGGGTACAAATTAGGGATGCCCGATTAGTGGGTGAGGATGCAGTTATTAGTACGAGTTCAATACCTGAGAGCTTATGAAGGTACAAAGTATTGAATATGATTTGAGTACTTATGAGTTTATATATCATGAGAAAGAAAATTAAATTTGAGAAGTTTGGAACAAAAAACTATGAACCCTTTACTTTTCAGTCAGTTAGGAATTCCCGAATGCGAGTCGAATCCTCTGCTTTAAAAAAGGCCTTTACAGATGAATATTTGGGTGTTAAGTACTGAAGCAAACATGTAGACAGTCCTGAGAACAACTGACCTTAAAATCATACGCATATCGCTGAATTAATTCCGGAGCCATCCAGAATGGGGTCCCCACAAAGGTGCCACGCTTAGTTATAGTTGAACTCAACTGACCGGCGACGCCAAAGTCAGCCAACTTTACATCACCACTGTAGGAAAGCAGGACATTAGCAGCTATCAAAAGGCGAATAGTATACCAATTAATTAATTAGTTCCAGTGAAAACGAAAAATAAACTTGGAAAAGTAAAGCTGAATACGTGCCAATGTCAACAACATGAAAGATATGTAATGGTAATATGAATCAAGACGTAATACAGGAACAGAATAAGCAAGCAAACAGAAACACTTAAATTGATAGAGTTGTTCACTTTAGTCTACTATCAAAATGGGAAAAGTCATTACTACCCATGGGCAAGTAGACATTGATAGACCATCTATAATCAAAAGTGGACAAAGAAAGTCAAACTAACTGAGGTAGCTTATGAGAAGTGGAGTGCATAAGCAGATACTTTTAACGGTCTTTTGTTAATTATCAGTTGAGTTTATGAGCCGACGAGACTATAATTTATGGACCAACTAATCACATTTACGATAGTAGGTCTTGGATTTTAGCGCGAGATTCATTCAACCGTTTGGCTAAATCGTGTTTCGGCATTTTAGTTTGTCTGTTCGTGATGAAAACCATGGATCTAATTCCTAGTCCTAACCATCAATTGTAAATCATAACCCTTATTCTTTAAACTACTTCATAATCCTCATTTAGCTCTAGGAAGCAGATGGGCATTCTTTTGATCACTTTAGCGTCGCTCAAAGTTCGTCCATAAATTAGTCTCATCGCTTCATTTTGACCTATAGACTATCATAATCCGACTCGCTATTCCTAAATCATATTTAGTTTATTGATTACCGTCTCCAACAGTCACAGCCACTTTTTGGCTTGATCCTGTACAATTTTTATTTTTAATGGTTTGTGGTCTGATTTGCTTGTATATAAGCCAAGTATTTCTGAGATAAATTAATCATATAGTGAAAGCTGGTATTGGTGTTCTGGACTCAACAGGCAGGGCTAGGCAGAAAAGGGACCAGTAAGGACGCTAGGTTGTCCATGTCAGTCAATACGTCATTGCTGTGGCAATGTTAAGATTGTATAAGTCGTATTCTGATTGGCGAATAAGTCACGTGGTATTTAAGGGGTAAAAGTCGCAACACCAATTTTGATGAGAATTTCTTGCCAACCACTGGTTCGACTGTATACTTTGCGTCCACTGTCTAGCCTCTATCTGAGGATTATAAATCCGGAAACATCCATGAGACTTATCATTAGAATATGTTATGTCGAAATGTTTTCCTATAGATACTCTACAAACCACTCCACATATCTACCCTGATCTTCTAAAACACGAGGCCTGTTTTAAAAGTAGAAAACAGCTGTAAAAGCTTGAGAATTCACCAACACACAACAACAGATGAGGAACTATTAGAACTCTATAAGATTGGACACCCACGGCTTATCCACAACTATAAGGATGAACCGTCATCTGAAATCTTCAGAATAAATCAATTCATCAAACGAATTTAACAATGAAATGTTACAAATAACAAACCTTTAATATCTCTATGAATTTTACTTTGACTATGTAGGTAATCTAGTCCCTTTAATATCTCTCTCAAAATAGTGGATATATGAACTTCCGGTATAGGTCCCGGTTTCATTAAATCAAGTGCCGATCCACCACCTAAGTATTCCATGACGATCCATAGTGTAGTGTCTTTCAAATAAGAACCATGATACTTTGTGATATACGGGCTGTTGCACTGAGACAAAACTTTGATCTCCTGCTGGATATCCTCAATCTCATCTTCAGCTGCTTCCAGATCAATAAGCTTGATAGCTACAACTTCTCTTGTTCTTCTATCCACACCCTTATAAACTTCCCCGAAAGAGCCTCTTCCGATCCGTTCAAGAATGTCATAAATGGTCTCTGGGTTTACATTCTATACGACAAAAAAATGAAACGTGTGAAGGTTGAATATCATAAACATGACTGCAATGATAGATTAATGAACAAAACACTTACAACTTTTAACTGTGTTCCCCTTGGATCAGGCATAATGTGAAACGAGTCTAAAACCCCCCGCTTTACCTAAGTGGATTAAAACAAATAAAAATTTCACGGTCTAAAATTTTTTTAAAAAGTACTAAACGTTCAGCTCTTATATAAAACTTCATTCTAAAAGTGATTATATCTCATCACACTAAGTGTGATTTATTTCAAACTTTGATTGGCTGGGTGAAAATCACAAACTGTTTACTGCTTGTCTCGGTCTTCAATAGGAGGTTTGAGCTGTAAACAGGTACAACTCTTGCTCTGATGGCTGAACAATATCAATCGGTGATTGAAGAATCAAGCTTAAAATAATCAAAGTACCGATGGACGTTAAAGAAACCTCAACCCTTCTTTTTAAAGAATCAGGAGGAGGAGTGGTCTTCTTAGCAGCAAAATAATCTTTGAAAAATGATCACTGATGATGTTGCAACTTATTACCATATTCCATTTTTATCTCCCTGTATTACACTGACTGGAGCTTGACTTGTGCAAAACGAGTAGATGTTACTTCTCGATACATTTAACTTTTTGGCTGCTCTTTCTTCTCCTAACTCAGATAGAGCGAAATACCTCTCGAGGTGGAAGGACATGGTGAGTTATGGTTTTCACATGAAACTTTGAGTAGCCAACTTAAATTGTCTTGAATAGTTTGGAAGTTAAACTTTAGAATTGTGTGAAGAAACCTGATAGCTGAGTACAAATTACTGACAGCTAATTGTAAGACTCCTAAATTTTCATAAAGACTGATGCACATATCTTTATCTATGGAAGAAATTGTGTTAGTGTAATCAACTAGGATGCACAAGGATGATATTTAACTACCATGCATCATTAGCATACTACACTTACATTAAGTTGAAACGTGTTTTTAGCAGCGAAATCATTTATCCTCTATTATGTCAACGTCTGAATCTAACATAATCTCTTTATATTCAATACTCCGTCACAACTAGGAATGTATACCCCGACATTCACCAGAAACAATGTACGTTTAGTCCTAACGCGATTTGTATTCCCCAAACTTTTGCTGTGTCCTTCCGCAGCAAAAGTACCGTTTTCGGTCCAAAGAATCTGTCCTGAGCTTTACAATTGGCAGATTACTTTTCTTTTTGAGTTTCACTCAGGTTGATAGTTGACTGTGGTTTTTCCTCGGCTTGCTATCCGGTTTTTAAGTTTTTTACGTTAGTGCTAGTTTGATTTTATCCTTACCTTGTGTACCACCCGCTTTATCTGTTTTCAGTGTACCGTTTTTGTCTTATGGTCGTAGACTTCTGCTCGAACAATTTACATCACCATAGTCATGAAGAATGCATGCAAGTGACTCGAATACCGTTTTGCTGTTACCTCTAGCATGCAGCGTGACAAATGCGAAGTTTGATTTCACGAAGCATGTACAGATCTTACAGTAAGTGCTTACAACAGACTTAGTAAAGTGGATCGTGGGTGGGTTCGCAGCACGTTCATCGTGAATGCTGAGGTTTTACTGAACAACTTCATCATTCTCATGACAGATCTGCGGAAAACGTTGTCAGCAAACCTGAAAAAGGCAGTCCTAAAACGAATAAACAAGCAAAGGCGCGTAGTGAGAACAAGGAGAGGGACTTCGGCAACACCAGTATTGTCTGAACATGCATCGACACTGGAGAGGACATGCTGAAGCTCAGCACCATCAAAACATCGACAGTACTAGACTTCCTCAGCAAACTTTGGTCTCCCAGTACAGGATCCCTGAATGCAAACGTGGTCCCCAAAAACTGTGGGCGGTTTGACCCTTGTCAACAATGTTGAAAAGGACTGGGTGTCATTATCTAAGAGGCATAACATCCCAGGAATCGTAATAAAATCAACTGGTGATTTGGCCGTACAGTCTACCTCTAAGATTGTTCAGCCGGTCAGAAATGAGCACTGAAATTTAAAACGCACTCCAGCCACCAAACAATAAAGTCCTCAACGTGAACGTACCCGAGAACCTGGGAAAACAATCACTTTTGCAGATGGTTCTCTCATAATCATGAACCTGAAAGACAGCCCTAATCTTCCTTCAGTCTGCAGGACAATAATGACGGGATGCTCCGGAAAGAGTTAATCAGGAGGCTCAAACTCCCAAGAATAGAGCTGTTGACGGTCACACTGCTCACTCTCGGAAAGGACTCTGTGCATCAAAATCACCCAAGACTACTTCGTTTAACGCTTACTAACGCCGCCAACGTAGAGGATGTGTTACTGGCTGGTCATTCACTAAAATCAGATGGAACTGTAAGAACACTGCCTGATATACCGTATTCTGAGCTCAATCTCATCAGGAACATTCCCCCTAAGGACAGAGGATACCAAATCGGGAAAACCTGTATAGGTAGGTTACCTGTCTACTCACATGGGACTCATATAGATAAACAGGGCAGGGAAGCTCATGCGTTTCAAATTGAAACCATAAACTGCTTATGTACGAGCGTCGCAAGTTTACCGAACAATATGGATTAAGTGCGTGAACTCACTAACGCTAATAATACTTATCTGATCGGAATATCTGAAACACGGATATCTTCTCAATTTACGGACGGGGAGCTAGCAATGCCCGGGGTGTCTTTGTTTCTCTTCGACAGAAAAACAGGAGTGGGGGACGGGGTTTCCTGATACTTTGATTTTGCTTAGAGGTACATCAGCCACAAATTTACTTAAATAAAAATAGAGTCATAGCACTCAAATCAGTACATGATCTATAAATTATTTACATAGGAAGCCTAACGTTTCAAGCACATACCCCGTTTATTATTTCTGAATCCAGACTGCTAATTGGTTTCACAATGAAAAATTCCTTCACAACAGAGGCGACGCTTACCTTGTACAAAATATGTATACGACCCTCCCTTAAATATTGCACTTTTGTCTTCACAAATATGAATACCGCAGACAGGAATAGAAAATGTTCAAAGACGCTTGACACGCCAACTGCTAGGATGTGACTCTTTCGTGACTGTAGGTAACTCTCGTGCTACTGATAGAAGAAACCGAACTAGTAGTGAATAGGTCTTTATTTCGATCTTCGCGCAGCCACAGTGGAGCGTGCGATTACCTATTCAGACAAACAAAGCCTCTCAACATTCGATGTAAGATAGTAGGAAATATAACGCCTATACAAAATAAGGAAGTGAATGAATACTTGAACTCTATTGTTTTGACAAATTCTTAGTAGTTTGAGGTCAACTATTAACCAATCAACCTAATCTGTTACAACTCTACTCTCGACTACACATATAGATGTAAGCACTTCTCCTTAGAACCTTTATGGTACCGTCGGCTAAAGAATAATCTAATATTTATATACATAGCAATATATGGACTTGCATTTCTAACCTCCTACCCAAACATGATCTACGACCCACTTTACAGACTCAGGAACAACAAATACACTACTTACTATGATACATCAAAAACCAATGCGTTTTAAGTTTTTTACGATGCGGTATAGCTTATTGTGGAACAGGTTGCCAGTACCTATCCATAACTGTGACACTCACTAAGTTCAAAAGACTGATAACTCTGTTACTAGACTCTAAAGAGCTTCATCAACTATTCCTTGGACTCCCACCCACCAGTGGGGCACTTTATTATGGAGCGCTTAATATTTACACCGATCATGAATATAACGGACTCCATTGTCATTAATATGAATATAACCAAATGATGGAACACATGGTTTACCCTCTTCCATTAATCATTGATTATTAGTCATGTCTTTATGCTCCTACTCGTTACTTTCAGATTTCGAATTGCTCTAATGTTTAAAGTTGTATTATTCTTGCTAAGTGTCAAATCCCATTTAATTACAAGTAGACATATAACTAATTAAAATTACTGATTCTGATCAACTAAGGCCTATCATAAGAACCTTATAATGTCTTAAACTCTTGTGAGTCTCTCAATGTTTTGTTTTCTCACTCTGGAAATTTACATTCCTATACTCTTTCACATTCTTTGATTTGCTGTCTGTCCTTACCATCTCTAGACCACATATAATCTGAGCAGTACCCAATAACTTATACCATTAGTTATCTCCATGGTCGTGTGATATACTTGCTGGGTATCTAACCCACAATACAGAAGCTTTAACCATCTGATCTGATTTATTTGTATCATGGAACTAGCAGAGATAGTGTATTCCAACAAGAGGCTTAGATTAAAGCAATATTCATGCACACCACAAACTTAAGGGAGCCTAACATTACAAAAACAGGAAGGGAAATGTTACTGACCAGTAAACATGGTGGTGATTAGTTAACTCTAAACTACGTATGTCCGTGTAGCATAACATTCTGTCAAATTACGGCTCCTTATGGTCTAGTGGAATATCACGAACGAATGGTATTGATGATAATTTGCTATGCAAAATACCTCTTCAAATCGTATTTGAAACGCTGAAGTGGTTCCACTTCCTACCGAGTTATCCTATTAAAAGCAAAACCAGACAATTCGCTAAAGTCGAAGCCTACTCATAACCCTATAAAATCTATAAAAATAAAAACGAGCTGAAATGGCTTAGCCAAAATGGGGAGTCAGCCATTTGTGTATCATAATACTGTTTCCAGTACCGTATTTTAAAACTACACATAATCCTATACTTTCAGCTTCTTCTCAAATTACCTCCATTTATGCACTCCTCTATCCACTCATACCCTATTTACGCTTATTTTCTCCAACGTATTAGAATGCTCTCTCTTGAAAAGTACCTCAACAGAAGAGAAGTAGACTAAGTAGTCATACCTTAACTATTCCTTCATAACTAAGAGAACTTTGATAGGTATGGGCATTGTCTGCTCTCCTTCTCGTCCTTTATTTTTCTTGCCTTCCTTTTCAGCCCCCTCGATATATACCACCGAAAACATGTATGGAACGGGGGACATCAGCTTGTATCTTAATTAATGCATCAGGTGTTCCAGAGGGATATAAGGCCACGGTTTACAGAAGCTCTCAAATTAACGTGAATTTACTCTCGACTATCAGTT